TATAGTGTTGTGGAATCCAGAGTCACAAACACACCTCAAAGGACACTCAGGACAGTGGAGTAGTTTATTATGCCAGCGGTTCCAAGGGGAATCAGTTCCCAACAAGGACCCTGATGTTTCTGAGAGGCCCCGTTTTATACCCCCCACTATGTGACTGATTACATTTTAGCAACCTTTTTGTTGTATATGATTGAGTTTTACAACAAGTAGGTGCTAGGAGAACAAACAATTAAGGTTAAAGGGGGGGAGAAATGATTATACATCAAGGGGGGATGTCTCCATGGTTAATCTAACGGGCAGTCTGACCTCAACTACAATCTCCCTTTGTCATCTGTAGGGAGGGAAGTCTCCAGGAGACCTGGTTTTCACTAGCAATGGTTTCCTCACTCCTGGGCAAGGTTCAGGCCCAGTTCACATCTTGTCTTTAAGATGGATGACAGGCTTCAAGATGGAGTCTTTCCTGCCTTCTTCACACTGGCCCCAACAATAGAACCTAAAACTATAAACTGTAGGAGAAAAATCTTTGTGATATCAGAGTAGGTAAAAGATTGAGGGATATGACATCAAAGATTGTTCAGACTTTATCAAAATTAGGAAATAATGCTCTTAAAAAAAACAAAACTTAAGAGCCTATAAAGGCAAGCCACAAACCACAAGAAAATATCTACAAATCACACATTTTAAAAAGAAGATGGAGACTTCCCTGATGGTTTAGTGGTTAAGACACCACAATTTCTCTACAGGGGACATGGATTTGATTTCTGGTGGGGGAACTAAGATCTCAAATGTCTCCCAGCACAACCAAAAAATAGGAAAAAAATTAATTAAAAAATTAAAAGATGTACCTTGTCATACCCATTAAGATGACTATGATCATAAAAGTAGAAAAGAATGTGTTGGTGAAGATGTGGAGAAACTGAAATGTGCACTTTTGGTAAAAATGTAAATGGGTGTAGACATTATGGAAAACAGTGTGGTAGTTTCTAAAAAAATTAAGAGTTGGATTGCCATATGGCCCAGCAATTTACCTTTTGGGTATATACCCCAAAGCATTGAAAACAGGGTCTTGAAGAAATATTTGTACACCCATGTTCACAGCAGCATTATTTTTAGTAGCCCCAAAGTGGAAGCAACCCAAGTGTCCACTGATGGATGAGTGGATAAACAAAACATGAAATATTATTCAGCCTTTAAAAGGAAGGAAATTCTGACTCATGCTGAAACATGGATGAACCTTTTGGACATTATACTAAACAAAATAAGCCAGTCACAAAAAGGGTAAATACTCTTATTATCTCATTTACATGAGGTACCTAGAGTAGTCAAATTCATAGAGAGAGAAATAGAATGGAGGTTGCTAGAGGCTGGGGGAGGGAGAATGGGGAGTTTTTTAGTGGGAGTTTCAGTTTTGCAAGATGAAAAGAATTCTGGAGACTAGATCCACAACAATGTTGAGTGTACCTAATACTACTGAATTGTACTTTAAAATGATTAAGATGGTAAATTTTATGTTCATTTTGCCACAATTAAAAATAAAATATATTCATCTAGAATATCTAAAGAGTTCCCCAAACTCAATTTCAACAAGGACATAAGCAATTCAATAGAAAAAAATGGGAAAATTTTAATAGATTTGAACAGATAACTTCCCCAAAGAAGATATGTAGATGGAAAACACATGAAAAGATGTTCAACATGATTAATCTGTATTGAAATGCATATTAGAACATCAGTAAAATACCATAGGGCTTCCCTGATGGCTCAGATGGTAAAGAATCTGCCTGCAATGTGGGAGATCTGGATTCCACCCTTGGGTGGGTAAGATCCCCTGGAGAAGGGAATATGGCTACCCACTCCCGTATTCTGGCCTGGAGGATTCCATGGACAGAGGAGCCTGGGGGCTTGGGGGTGGTCTACAGTCTATGGGGTAGAAAAGAGTTGGACATGACTGAGTGAGTAACACTTTCACTTCAATTTTTATGCGCCTACTAGAATGTCTAAGATAAAAAAAGACCGACTACACTAAGTGCTGGTGAGGAGATGTGTGTGTGTGTGTGTGTGTGTGCACACGTGTGCATGCACGCTTAGTCGCTGTTGTGTCTGACTCTTTGCGACCCCGTGGACTGTAGCCCACCAGGCTCCTCTGTCCATGGGGATTCTCCAGGCAAGAATACTGGAGTGGGTTGTCATGCCCTCCTCCAGAGGATTTTCCCAACCCAGGGATCGAACCCAGGTCTCCTGGATTGCAGGGGAATTCTTTATCATCTGCGCCACCAGGGGTGAGGAGATGGTACAAGAGAAACTCTCACACACTTCTGGAGTGGCTATAAAATGGCTACAGCCATTTTGGAAAATGGTTTAGTGGTCTAAAAATTTTAAATTTATCCAGTCATTCCAGTCTAAGGGAAAAGAAAGTATGTGCACACAAAAAGACTTTTGCATCAGTGTTGATAGTGGCTGGAAATAACCCAAATGTTCAACCCAGATGAATGGATAAACTATGGTTGATTCATCTGGTAATGGAATCTATGGCAATGAAAAGTGTTGATACATGCTACAACATGCACGAATCTTGAAGTAATTATGCTGAGTGAAGAGAGCCAGATAAAAAAATTAAGTCTAGAAATCTCAAACTAATCTATAGTGACACAAAGCAGATCAGTGGTTGCCTGGGCATGGAGGTAGGGAGGAAGTGAGGAGATAGAAAAGAGCAGGAGAAATCCTTTGGGGGTGATGGGTGTGTTAATTATTTTGATTGTGGTTTCACATATGTCTAAGCCAATAGAAGTGTACACTTTAAATATGAGTTGTTTACAGATGATTATATCCAGAAGCTGGTAAGACTGTATTAATTCCCTGGTGGTCCAGGGGTTAGGACTCCCACACTTTCAGTGAAGAGGCTCAGGTTCCATCCCTGCTCAGGAAACTGAAATTCTGCAAGCCTTGTGGTGTGGCCGAGAAAAAAGAAAAATCACTGAGGGAAAACCTATAATACTTCAATATAAAAAGTTAAAAAAAATCGGGGCTTATCTGGTGATCCAGTGGTGAAGAATCTGCCTTCCAATGCAAGGGATACTGGTTTGATCCTTGCTCCAGAACGATTCCACATGCTGTGGAGCAACTAAGCCCGTGTGCCACAGCTTCTGAGCCTGTGTTCTAGAGCCTGGGAGCCACGGCGACCCAGCCCACGTGCGGTAGTGTGGTCGGTGACAAGAGAAGCCGCTGCGACAAGAAGCCTGCACTCTGCAACTGGAGAGCAGCCCTGCGCTCCACAGCTAGAGAAAGCCATTGTGCAGCAATGAAGATCCAGCACAGCCAATAAAATAAAGTTTAAAAAATGGTACTAGTGCTTGTCGAATGACTGTGAAAAAGCTGTAGCACATCAAGTCTTTTGAAAGCTGTTTGAGAGAGGTCTGTTTCTCCACACCCTGGTGATGGTGGGTGTAGTAAATACCGATGACTCTTCCAAGTCCAAGTGGTGCGATATGGTTGTTCGATTTGTATTCCTGAGTATGAGTCCAATTCAGTGTCTTTTCAGAGATCGGCAAGACATGTTTCTTCTTTGAAGTGCCTGCTTCATAAACTCTGCTGCCTTACCCCCTTCAGATGTTTGCTTGGACGTCACCTCAGAGCAGTTTTCCTGACCCCGCTGTGTAAAATCACAGCCCGCTCCCACTACCTCAGTTCAGTTCAGTCTCTCAGTCATGTCCGACTCTTTATCAACATTTATTCTTTTTTTTTTCATTTATTTTTATTAGTTGGAGGCTAATTACTTTACAATATTGTAGTGGTTTTTGCCATATATTGACATGAATCAGCCATGGATTTACATGTGTTCCCCATCCTGAACCCCTCTCCCACCTCCCTCCCCATTATTCATTTCTTATATTTCATGTAAAGGAATGTAACCTCTGTACTGTGCGGAGCCCTTTAGTACAGTGCCTAGCACACAGTGGGAGCGGAAACTGTGTGGTGAGTGAATAAAGGAACAGATGTCTGTGTGCCTGGCCCTTGGGGCAGTGAAGTCTTGTTGGGCAGCAGCTGAGAGCTGGAGGAGATTTCAAGAGTATACAGTCCAGTGACAAAGTTTTCACCGATCTGTGGAGACATTAAAAAATAAGGACAATTAGCACATAAATACGCATATGTATGGCTGCCAACTTTTTTCTTGGGAAGGATCCTGAACTTTTGTTTTTCTGTTGTTCTGATGCTATGGTAAATATCATATTCATGAAATCCAAAAATCAAGGAATCACTGAATTGTGGTCCTGCTCTTCCGTTCGGTATTTACTGAACCATCTGTTCAGTGTGACCACTCCTGTAGGCGTCAGGGGCTCAGCAGTGAAAAGACCAGCCAGGGAGGCCTGTATAGCTTAGCGAGGGGGTTGGGGTCTACATCCCCGATGCAGAAGATGGCACCCCACACTAGTATTCTTGCCTGGGAAATCCCACAGACAGAGGAGGCCGGGTGGGCTGCCTACAGTCCATGGGATCACAAGAGTCGGACACGACTTCACCACTAAACCATCACCAGGACATCCTTGAAACGACAGCTCAGCAGCTCACTGCAGGTGTGGAACCCGTAAGGAAGAGGACCAGGTGACAGGTGTGTTTGCGTACTCGGAAGCTTGCCCCTCCTAACCTCCAGGCAAGGGCAAGACAGAAGCCTCGGTGCGCATGGTCTGCGCCGGTCACCTGCGCGTCCTCAAACTTGACGCACTAGATAGAGGTAGGTGCTGGGGGGCGGGGGCTGGGTGGAGCAGAGGCGGGGCCTCGTTCTTGGCGTCCTCTCGCCCCGCCCACCGCGCCGGGCCGTCCGAAGGTGGCAGGGAGCAGGGGTGTCGCGTGAACGGGGCGGGGCGGGGCAGCGCGGAACGCGCGCGCCTGCGGCTGAGTTTCCGGTCGGAGGCCTTTGCCCAGCGCCCCGCGTCCCTGAGGGGCGGCGGCGGCGGCGGAGGCGGAGGCGGCGGTAGCGGGGGGGAGATCCGGAAGTCAACACCATGTCGAGTCTGCACAAGAGCCGGTGAGGAGGCACCGGGGCCGACCAGCCAGGCCACTGGTGGCCATGCTGTCCGTTTTGACCTGCGGGGGTGGGGGGGGCGAGCGAATGTGGCTAGGAATCGGGACCTCCCCCCTCGCCGCCCCCACCCCCCACCCCTCCCCGGGCTGAAGGTTTTGCGCCCCCACTTTCCAGCCTCTTTGCTGTGGGCCTGAGTCGGGGCACGGAACGGGGACATCTCTCCTGCCCCTCGGTGTTGCCGCTTCTCTCTTTCTCCCCCGCACCCTGGATCCTTCCCCCTGGTGTCTTCCTCTTCTAGGGCTTTGATGCCCGATCCGGATGCACCCCCCACCCTTTTTCTCCCTTTGTTAACCCTTTGCCCCCAGTACCCTTCTCTATCCAAATGCTTCCGCTCCCCCCCCTTTTCTTACTAGAAATGCTAGAAAACGTAGATTCTCCAGTCTGTTCCCCCCCCCCACCCCCGGGGCCAAATCCTGCAGCGTTGGCTAATTTTGCTCATTCTTCACTTTTCCTCCAGTTTTTAAACCGTTTGTCCTTGCCTGCCCGCAGGCCTAGAGGTCTTCTAATGGTTTTATTTTTGAGTTTGGGATGCTGGGTGCAGATTACACAGGTCCTTGTCCACAGATCAGATTACTCCTGATTCTAAGGGTTTTTGGAATTCAGATAGACAGTGTGGTTTGGACCTGGTCAGCAGGAAGTGGCCAGTAAATGCCGCCTCAGTAAATGTTAGAATGTGTCTGATTTCATGGTGCTCATTTGAGAACCTTTAGACAAGAGTATAGATTTCTGGACTTAGAGGAAACAGTGATCTGTAATTCTTCAAAGCTGTCCTTTAGCCAGGGTTTTGCCTGTGCCTTGCATATTTGTGTCCTGAGGGGGAGGGAGGAACAGGTTGGAGACTGGGGGTGTAAGGGAGCTGTGGGCTTTAGGAGGGGTCGCTAAGCCTGTCATCTTGGGGTTTGTGTGTCATTTGCCTCTGTCTCCCTCCTAGGATTGCAGATTTCCAGGATGTCCTGAAGGAGCCCACAATTGCCTTGGAAAAGCTTCGGGAACTCAGTTTTAGTGGTAAGAGCCAATCCTCCATTTTCAGGGTTTTCCTGGAGCAGCCTTGTGATAAAGATGGAGGGGCAGTGAGCCAAGGCCACACCTGGCCAGTTCTGGGGACCGGCCTGCCTTTTGGGAGCTTCTCCAGATTGTGTGGAGCTGAGCAACCAGGGCTGCCCCGGGCTGGCTTCACAGAGCAGGGGCGCCCTGAGTTAGCATGCCTGTAGGCCTTAGACTGGGCTTCCCTAGGGGCTCAGTGGTAACGAATTCGCCTGCAGTGCAGGAGATGCGAGTTTGATCCCTGGGTTGGAAAGATGCCCTGGAGGAGGAAATGGCAACTCAGTATTCATGCCTGGAGAATCACATGGACAGAAGAGCCTGGTGGGCTGCAGTCCATTGGGTTGCAAAGATTTGGACATGACTTAGTGACTAAGTGCACACGCATGCACACACAGACCTTAGACCAGGTGCTCATTGGCCTGTAAGTGATGCTGATTGCTTCCTGGGAGTAACTGGAGGGCAGAGGGGAGACGTCTTGAACAGAGGAAAGGTCTCTCTTCATTCCTTAGCAGGCTTCCTGGGTTGTAGAATTTGGCTAGCTACGGAGCGGTTCCTCGTTCTCTCTCTGGCTTAGGATCAAAAGCCAACTCAGGTAATACTGAACTTTGGTTCATTGTAAAATTCCAGCCTTGAGTCACTCACTTTAAGGAGCTGAACCCCAGCAGTTTTTGACTTTGCCCTCCCTGGACTGGCTAACTTTTCAGGACAGAGACTCTTGCATGTCTTTAAAAATACCCCAGGGTGTTCTGGTAGCTTCTTGTGACTGCTCTGCCCTTGGAACTTTGTCAGCAAGGACGCTTGAGTTGCCCCTTGCATACCCATGCAGATTCTGAGGTGAGGACACTAGCTACTGTTAACGGTAGCTAGGGAGACTGTAGCCACAGCTGCTTTAGCGAGCGTCCTGACAGTGTTTCAGGAGAAGTTCATCTTTGCATTCAGGAGTGATGTTTAGGCCCTGAAGATCTTGAGGGGTTTCTGGGATCTGTGCTGAGCTGAAGAATCTGCCAGGCCCCAGGGGAGGCAGTCTGCGGCAGTGGCTACAAGCTGGGCTCTAGAGTCAGACCTGTGTTGGAGTCCTTGATTGCTCTGTCTTTGTAGATGAGTTTCTTTATCTGTAAGATGGGGACAATGATGCTGATTTTCCTTACTTACTAGGGCTATAATAAGGATTAAGTGAAATTTTAAGTCTGTAAAACACAAAACACTGAACATTCAGAGCTTAGTTTATATTCCACAAATACTTACAGAATACCTGCCCTGGGCTAGGTAGTGGAACAGTAAGACAGATTTGGTCCTCATCTTTCTAGGGCTTTCCCCAGTATTAGGGGTTACAGATGTTAAATAAATACACAAATTATTTCATACATTCCCATTTGCGAGGGATGCCATGAAGATGTGATGGAGCCATTATTGTTTATGTCAAGGGCCCTGACTTTATTTGGGAAGAGGTGGTGTGGTTGGTCAAGGCTACTCTGAGGAAGAAATATCAAAGGTCAGAAGCTGTCATCCTCAAAAGAACATTCCAGACGGGTCACAGAGAGAGAGAGACATAGGATTAGCATCGTCTAGCAGTCTTTCTGGCAGCGAATGATTCTTGAGGAAGTACTTCTTGCCCGCTCCACTCCCTGCCGACTGGCTCTGAGGTGGCGGGCTGGGGGGCTCTGGGACTCTGCGGGGGTGTGACCTTTGCCTGCTGTGTCCACAGGCATCCCCTGTGAGGGCGGACTGCGGTGCCTCTGCTGGAAGGTGGGTGTGCCTGGGGTGGGGCTTCTGCTCTGCCGAGAGTCCCTGGGTTCTTGCATGGGCTGTACCCACCCCTGGCCCCTTCTTCCTATTTTCTGCCTTTCCTTGCTTGTCCCAGGAAGCTTTTCTGGGAAGTTCTGGGTTTTCTGTTTCTCTTGGCATCCCCTCAGGAATCCCCCTGGGGCTGGAATGCTTTGAGATGCCAGCAAAGCCCTCTGCTTCCTGATCCAGATATCTCAGTGGAAGTGATGCTGATTGGGACAGTAAAAGGCTATGCTTTGCCTAAAGCTTTTTGCTGAGGTGGGAGCAGAAGCCCAGTGTCCTGCTTCCCAACCCCTTTGAGCACAAGGTTTTATCATCATTTGGGAGAGTCTGTGGGAGGGAAAGCAATAGAAAGGGCTGCTGCAGGATAAAGGACGAGGAAGCCAGTGGGGAGAAGAGGGGAGGCTACCCAAGCCCATGCCTGCGTTCCTGGGTTTTACCTAGCCTGTCATGCCTTCTCTGGGCTTTATCAGACGTTTTCCTTGAGGCCTGTCAGCCTCCGTCTCCTTCAGGGGTTGGGCCGGGGGAGTCACCAGAGCTTTGCTTTTCTCTCTCTGTGTGCAGATTCTCTTGAACTACCTCCCTTTGGAGAGAGCCTCATGGACCTCCATCCTGGCCAAGCAGAGGTGAGACCTTGACACAGGGGAATGGCGGGAGGGCCTTTGTATTGGGCAGAGCAGGTGGTGTGAGTCCAACCCACTTCCTGTTGCTGCACTGCTCCGGCTCATCCCTTTCTCCTCTCCTCTCCTCCAGGGAGCTGTATTCTCAGTTCCTGAGGGAAATGATCATCCAGCCTGGCATCGCCAAGGCCAACATGGGCGTGTCCAGGGAGGATGTGACCTTTGAGGACCATGTGAGTAGGGGGCCCGCAGTGGGGACCGAGGCGAGGCTACGGAGTGGGGCTGGGGAGAGCTGTGGGCTTTGGGGTGGGCGAGGTCCCTCAGCCCAGAGGCCAGGTGCCGCTGATCCTAGTTCCTTTTACCCCCCAGCCCCCCAGCACCTCGTTTCTCCGTTTGGCTTCTTAGCCGCCAAAGGCTGTTGAGTCTCCGTGTTCTCCCCAGTCTCCAGGCCCAGTCAAGACCACTGGGATGACTGGGATCCAGGAGTGCTGTGTGTGCAGTGCTGAGCCTAGTCCTCCGCACGTTGGCTCCTCAGCCCCCTTCCTCCAGGAAGCTTCTGTGATACTGTGGTTGAAGGGAGTCAGAGCAGGGCCGGGGTGAGGCTGCGTTTCTGCAGCCCAGAGGAAGTGGGCTCTCATTCTCTCTGCAAATACCCAACTTCTCCCTGGTGCTTCGCAGTTGGGAAGTGGAGATGGATTGGACCCAAACTGATCCTCCAAGGACTGGAATTGGTAACTTAGAGTATTGATGAATTAGATTCGAAGAGACCTCACGATGCAATATTCATTCACTCAGCAAGCATTTAGTGAGCACCTGTTACACTCAGCGTTCTGGAGCCGTGGACAGGGAAGGGCAGAGTCCCTGCTGAGCAGGGAAGTGCCCAGAGCTGACCTGGGGCTTGGCTGTGGGATGTGGACGGGGACGGAGGTTTGGGAGGCTGCGGAGGCGGGCCTGTGCTGCCGCTCGACCAGCTCGCAGGCCATCTCAGCCGTAGCTGCGTCTCTGCTGGGAATGCTGGTTTGGGGCTACTGCTCAGGCCCCCGCGACTGAGGTCTGCCTGTGGGGTCCTAGCCGGCCAAGGATAGCGCGGCTCATTTTCCCCCGCAGCCTCTGAACCCCAACCCCGACAGCCGGTGGAACACATACTTCAGGGACAATGAGGTGCTGCTGCAGATCGACAAAGATGTCCGGTGAGCAGGGCTCTGGGGCGGGGAGCCGGCCCTGGGGCTTCTGGGGGTTTTCCGCTGCTTCTGCCCTTTTGCAGCCCAGCCCCGGCCCACAGGGAGGTGTCTGAGGAACAGCTGGGGAGCTGAGTCCCGGCCACAGGCACAGCACGCCTGGCAAGGTGCGGGGGTGTGGGGTGCTGGCAGTGGCCTGAGTGCCCAGCTCTCCTCTTCCCCTGCCTTGATTTCACTTGTAGCCCAGGCAACTATGGATTCATGTGCTCCTTCCTTCAGCGAATTCAGAGGCCCTGCTATGTGACAGGCTCAGTGCCAGGCTGGGGGGTTGAGCATGGAATAGACAGGGGGGTCTCCTTCCTTAAGGAACTTAGAAGCTGAGGGGGAAGATGTAAAGACAAGATGTTCAAGAAAATGTGTCTTCCGTGTCACTAACATTTGTGGTGACTGCTCTGAAGGCAGAGTTCAGGGTGCTTCAGTGCAGTTGGGACGTCTCGCCTGAGGAAGCAGCTGAGATTCTGCGGAGCCTGGGGGTTCGGGGGAAGGGAGGCTGTGGTGCCTCCCAGAGGAGGTCCTGAGCGCCTTCGGAGCTGGGCCGTCCGAGGAGCGCTGGGAAGGCCAGTGTGCCTGAGGCCCCACCAGAGGCAGGCGGGGGTCAGACCTTGGACTCGATCCCAGGGACGTGGGGCGGTCTCCCAAAGGGTTTAAGCAGAGGAGTGACAGGGTCAGAAAAGTGTTTTTTTTTTCAAATTGTGAGCTATGCCGTGTGCGCGCGCTGTTCCTCTTGGTAGGGAAGTGTGGCCAGCGGACTGTGCTGGCCTGCGGGGTGGGTGAGCCCGGCAGCCGGTGACTCTCCCACATGGCTGGGTGAGGAGCTGGGGGGGCCTGTCTGCAGTGGCCGGGTGGTCAGAACTTGGGCTCTAGAGTCTGTCCGTCTGCCTCCCTTTCCACCCCCGCTGCTTGTCAGCTGTGTTACCAGCTCTTCGCCGCCCGGGGCTGCTCCTCCCCTGTGCTCACTGTGCCCAGGCCCCCCGCCTCCCAGACAGCCCCGGTGGGACCCCAGCCTGGGGTGCTCAGCCAGGGGGAGAGTGGGTCTCTTGCCGCCTTCATTCTCAGGCTGGCATTGGGGAGCCTCTACCCACAAGGTATTTCATCGCCCCGTTTTAAGTCAGGAACCACGTCTTGAACCCAGATCTGGGCAGAAAGGTTCTTAGCCTGGTAGTGACTGTAGTACGTTGTTCAGTGTTCCCGGAGGGTGAGTCTGCAGTGAGCTTCAGCTAAGAAGTCTGGACAATGTGTGTGTGCCGCGATACGTACACTTTAAAAACTTTCACATTCTAGAGACTGTCTCCCCACTTGATTGTTTCTCTATCTCCTCAGCTGTAGTATTCCATTGTATAACTTATAACTTAATGAAGCCTCTTACCATTTTTAGCCTCAATACAAATAGTTCATACTCTTGTACATATTATCTTTTCTATTTTTTTTTTTTTTGTTCATATTATCTTTTCGACATGGAAAGCTGTGGTTTAAAAGAAGAGTTAAGATTCTAAGGACACTTGAAAGTATGTGTGTGTGTCTTGTTTGTAAACATACATATGATATATGGGTGTGCACGCATACATGATGACTGCATTGCTTTTGAAATAAGCTGTTACTAACTGAAACACACACAGAAGGCTTTGGGGAGGCTGGGCCCCTGGCAGCAGAGGACTAAGACGCCTCAAACCCTCTCGCTGAGTAGCAGTCCTCTCCTCTTCCCCCTTGCAGGAGGCTGTGTCCAGACATATCCTTCTTCCAGAGGGCCACCGAGTACCCCTGCCTCCTCATCCTGGATCCCCAGAACGAGTTCGAGACCCTTCGTAAGCGGGTGGAGCAGACGACCCTGAAATCCCAGACGGTGGCTCGGAACCGGAGCGGCGTCACAAATGTGAGAGGCACCTGCGGGCTTTGGGGACTCCCCGTGACAGCCTTTTCCTTCCTGCCTGGGACTAGTGGCCACGGGCCATCGGGCCCCTGACCATCCGCCTTGACTGTTTACCCCGAGCAGCCTTGCTCCTGCCTCACCCCCCTCCGGGCTCTTTCTGAAAATCAGATTCGCAGGCTGGTGTCACGGTGCTGGGGCTGCGGGGGTGCCCTACTGTGCAGTGAAGGGGCCACACTTCTGGTCTGTGGTGGAGGCAGCGCTTGGAAAAGGAACTGCAAGTGTGATGAAGTGCGGTGGGAACAGTGATGGCCAGGGACCTGACCTGATCTGGGCATCAGGGAGGACTTTCCTGAGGAAGTGACATTTAAGCCAAGGCTCAAAGGATGAAGAGGAAAGGGCCTTCCAGGAGGAGAGGAGGGCATGTGTGGAGAGAGCAGGGTGTGTTCAAGAAAAGGAGGAGTCTAACCTGAGCTGGGTCGGGGAGACAGCGAGGGAAGGGTGGCCGGAGGATGCTGGAGAAGTGAGTGATAGTGAGGCCATGCGGGCCTTTGTCCTGGGGGCTAGGGACCCCTGCAGCATTCCTGGAGCAGGGATATAAGACTGCCTTTGTCAAAGATAGCCGTGGACACTGGGACGATGTTGATGGGAGAGGCAGGAATGGAGGTGGAGAGGCCGCCTGGTGCTGTGGTTGGTAGGGGTGGGGACTGGGGTGGAGAGGGAGTGATTTGAGAGACCTCAGAGAAAGGAAGGGTAGGTCTTGTGCTGGTCAAGTTATGCTGAGGGTTGGAATGTCAGGCTTCTAGCAGACTTACGTGATTCTGAGAAGCTGCTTATTGCTAAAAGGTATATTATTCCTTAAAGCCTACTGCTTTCATACCTGGAGCTTTGACTTATTCCTCAAAATTTTTCACTGTCCTCCAACAATGGAAAAACTCTTCCCTGTAACTCCCAGCAAGCTAGAGACAGATACTGTAGCCGTTCTACTGCCCACTTGCCCTGCTGGTACAGTGACCTATCAGGGCTTTGTTTCCTGGAGACCAGCCATCTTTCCTCCCAGGGGTGGCTGGGAAGTTCTGGCTGATCCCTTGGTTCCACCTGCCCATGGCAGAGCTGGGTGCGTCAGGAGGTGCCAAACGCTTGGCTCAGTGACCCGTAGCTGCCTGAGTTGGTGGTCGTCCTACTGGGCTGCTGATGTTCTGTCTGCCTGGAAAGACAGGGACCTGGCTTCTGTCATTCCTTTCTCTACAATAATTGGTGGCTGAGAACCGATTTTAGGTTTGGACCTGGTCCTGGTGGTAGCGAACCGGACCACAGGCTCCATCGCTAGGCCTCTGGGTCCAGGCGCTGGGCGGTTTGCGTTAAAGCTGACTGTCTGACACTGCCCAGGTAACAGCAGGCTTGCCTTCCTGAGCCGTTGTTTCTTCTTCTGTACACTGGGCGCCGTCATTTCTGCCCTGTCTGGCTTTTAAATTGCCAGGAGGGTGAACTGAGGTCATTGCTGTGCAGATTCTTGGAAAGCAGTGGGCACCCTCTGAGGCTTGGGCCTGGGGTTCTAGAGCCAGCCTGGGTCCAAGTCCCATGCCACCACTGAATGCGAGACGTCTGATGAGTGGCCTAGCGTTTCTGAACCTGTTTCCTCATCTTGAAACTAATGTGGAAAGAATCTTCTAGGCTGTTTTGGGCATTAAACAGGAAGCTTCTAGGGCTTTGTCTTGCCCATGAAACCCTCTTGGTAAATGTTAGTGATATGTGTGTCTTAGTGTGTGCATATGTACACACGTGTATGTGTATAGATGTGTATATACAATGGAAAAGGATGTTTCAAGTTCTCAAAACCCTGGGCTTCCAGGACAGCATTATACTCTGACCTTACAGGGATGTGCCTGTGACCCCAGGCACTGGAACTTTTACAAAACTCCCAAGGGATCTGATGGGTCCTCTGCTCTATTGTGTAAGTTTTTAGTGAGATCATCTCTTCATTCATCTCCCACTTTTTCTTATGAAGATTTTGAAATATTCAGAAAAGTTGAAAGACAAGTACAGCACACACCCTCATACTTTCCACCTAAATTCACCAGTTGTTAACCTTTTGCCGTGTTTGTGTGTGTTATCACATAGAGAGTAAACTGTGCACATGTCCTGACCCCTTAACCCCTCAGTCCTTCAGCAGGCTTCCCCTGAGAATCAGGACATCCTCCTCACCATTGTAACATCTGCCAATATTACCCATAAATCATAATAACAGCGCACATTCAATCCTGGTTTGGGTGTCCTCTAGTTGTATCAAGAATTTTTTTTTTTTGGCTACCTTGTATGGCTTGTGGGATCTTAGTTCCTTGACCAGGAATTGAACCTGAGTCCACAGCAGTGAGAGTAAGGAGTCTTATCCACTGGACCACCAGGAATTCCCTGTGCCAAGAATGTTTTTGTCGTTTTAAATCCTAACCAGCACCAAGTTAGGGTTTATGCATTGCACTGGAATGTTGAGTTTCTTTAGTCACTGCAGCTGGAGCAGGCCTCCACTCCCCCAACCCCCCACAGCATTTGACTTCTTCAAGAATCTTTACCAGTTGTCTATTGTTGACATACTTTGAGTTTTTTTTTTTTTTTTGAATTGAACTATAACTTACACACAAGAAAAGCACAAACTTTAGGTATACAACTAGATGAACATTTTCTCATGTATAAACGTACGTTAACTGCCAGCCAGATCAGGACATGGAACACTTCCATCATCCAGAAAGTTCTTTCATGCCCCTCCCCAGACAGTACCCCTTCTCTCAGAGGTAAGTACCTTTCTGACTTTTATCACTAAATTAGTAGATTTCAGTCCCTCTGGCTTGTGGAATGTTGCCCATTGTGGATTCATTTGCTCGTTCCCAGTGGCGTTGGACACATCCCTCTCTGCCCTGGGTTGCCCCTGAGATGGAAGTTAAGTTTCAGCTCGCTGTCTGTCATGCTTCCCACCTTCTTACCAGGCCCCTGCCCTTGTCCCCTAGATGAGCTCCCCACAGAAGAACCCAGCGCCCTCCATGAACGAGTACGTGGTGCTGCCCAACGGCTGTGAGGCCCACTGGGAGGTGGTAGAGCGGATCCTGTTCATCTACGCCAAGCTCAACCCCGGCATCGCTTACGTGCAGGGCATGAACGAGATCGTGGGCCCCCTCTACTACACCTTTGCCACCGACCCCAGCAGCGAGTGGAGAGGTAAACAGGTGGGCTCCTGGCCGCTCACGTTCCTTCTTGCTGCCTGTGGAGAAACGGACCAAGGAAAGCTGGACTGATGGGCTTTATCAAGCTCTTGTGCTGCTCACTTCTCTGTTTTGGGGTCTCCATTCTCTCTGTGTCGGATAAGGGGGTTGGCCTGCATCACGTCTGAGATCTTTTCTGGCTTGAACTTTCTAGAATGTTACATATTTACTGATCTCTTTAAAATATATATATATATATTTTTTTATATATATATACACACACACATATATATATATTTGACTGTACCAGGTCTTAGTTGCAGCATGTGGATCTTTTAGTTGTGGCATGTGGGATCTAGTTCCCTGAACAGGGATCGAACCTGGGCCCGCTGCATTGGGAACCTGGAGTCTTAACCACCGGACCACCAGGGAAGCGCCTCCCCCGGTTTACTGATCTATTCATATTTGTAACCGAATTTCTGATAGAGGAGATGAGATCTATAGACAGGAAGCTGAAAGAAAGAATTTAAATAAATAATGATTTTTAAAACGTCAGCAGAACATGTAGTCAACTGCAGAGTCAGTGTACTGTGTTGTCGGAGTTGTGAGGAAAAGAGGTGGGTATTCCCTGGTGGTCCAGTGACTGGGACTCGTTACTTTCACTGAGGAGGGTGCTGGCTAAGATCCTGCAAACTGTTTGGCATGGCCAAATAAAAACTATGTCTGGTCTGGGGCTGGAGAGCGGTGGGTGGAGAGTGGTGACAGACAGAGGAGGCATGGAGGGACGCAGCCTGACCAGGGCGGGGTGACTTGGTGGAGGCTCAGAGCTGAGGGTGAGCTCTCACTTAGTTGAGAGGTGGGGTATGTTGCGAGCAAGCCCGTCCTCTTGCGGCTGCCCTGACCTTGCCTGTCTCTCCCAGAGCATGCTGAGGCAGATACCTTTTTCTGCTTCACCAACCTCATGGCTGAGATCCGGGACAACTTCATCAAGAGCCTTGACGACTCACAGTGTGGCATCACCTACAAGATGGAAAAGGTGTACTCCACCCTGAAGGATAAGGACGTGGAACTCTACCTGAAACTGGTGAGGACCCCCAGGGCCACACAGGGTAGGGCAGACAGAAAGGGGTAGAGGACAGCAGGCTCCTGAGCACCCCAGCCAGGCCCAGGGTGGGGACTGGCCTGAGTCTGAGGATTAGAAGTTACTGCTGCTGCCAGGGGGCCATGACCCAGGTGCTGAGGTGGGGCGGGGAGGTGGGGCAGCTGGCAGGCTGAGAATGAGGGGAGGTGGGTATGGTGCCCTGTGTGCGAGGCATGGTGCAGGATGTCTACTGTATGCTTTGAGTTCAGCCTATTAGAGTCCTCCTGGAAAGGAAGTGTGAACTTCATTTTAAAAAATTATTAGAGGGACTTCTCTGGTGGTTCAGTGGCTAAGACTGTGCTCCCAGTGCAGGGGACACAGGTTCAATCCCTGGTCAAGGAACTAGATTCCACATACTGTACCTAAGACCCAGGCAGCGCACCCCCCCCAAAAAAAAATTATTGGGAGTGGCATTTCATGTTTGTTTCAGGGAACTCTGCAGTAAGAAGAGTATTTATTTATAAACAGGAACAGTTTTGTGAACAAGAAAATATACATAAACATATCTTTTTAACCAAGAATGGAATTATAGCTTATTGTTTTGTAACAGGCTTTTCAGTCAGTAGTATCCACTGTGGCCGACCAGAGGGCTCGTTCCCATTGGGAATAATTGCCTTGTGCGGTTGTTGGATGGACTAAATAAATGAAATATTAACGTATTACGCACAAGGCCAAGCTTGCAGTAAGTGCCCAATAATGGTTTCTCTGTCCATAAATCCATAGTGACAGTCGGTGTAGCGTTTTAAAAGAATTTGAGCCATCATTTATAAATCTAAAGTGCTCATATAAAAAAGTCTTGGTTTTTGGCTTCCCTCAAAAAAAATCAGATGATCTGACAGCTTGGCAGCAAGCAGCAGTCATCCCTCTGGCGGAGCGAGGCTCTCTGGGCGGCCCGGTGCCATCCCCGCCTTGGCGTGTCTGGAGCTCACGCCGGGCCTGCCGCTTAATCTGAATTCATGCCTGCTGGACTGCATGGTGGTTCGTGGCCACTAGCCAACACACATTCTCGCAGCCACCCCACACCTCTGTCTCCCCAGCAAGAGCAGAACATCAAGCCCCAGTTCTTCGCCTTCCGCTGGCTTACCCTGCTGCTGTCCCAGGAGTTCGTGCTGCCTGACGTCATCCGGATCTGGGACTCCCTCTTTGCCGACAGCAACCGCTTTGACTTCCTCCTCCTGGTCTGCTGCGCCATGCTTATGTGAGTGTGGCCATGGGGGTATGTGTGTGTGGGGGGGGCGGGCAGGGGCTGCTGTCAAGAAGCTGGACTGAGCCTCTAGGATTCTCAGGGGAGCATCAGTCCAAACTTGCTGGGGTGGTGCGGCAGGGGTAGAAGGAGGCCCGGTGGGCTTGCTCTCAGACTAGTCAAGGGGCCCAGCGCTTTCTATTGCTTGTTTTTCCTAGACTGATTCGGGAGCAGTTGCTGGAAGGGGACTTTACTGTAAACATGCGACTCCTGCAGGTAATGGAGTTCAGGGGGACCGGTTCAGTCTTTATTTATTTATTTCGGGCTCAGCCTTTAGCCATGAGGCAGACACTTAACTGGCGGCCACCCCATGCCAGCCGCTGTGACAGGCTGCCTCGGGATCAGGAAGAGGTAGCAGGGCTTGAGTCCAGACCCCCGAGGCAGATCTGGGTTTGGATATGGGTTGAATCCGGTTTGGCCACTGACCTTGAGTGTGATGTGGCCAGTGACTTGGTTTTTCTGAGCCACGCACTCTGCATAGGTAAATCATAGCTGAGAAACAGCCTTATTACCCAGTATGTGGTAATAATGCCCATTGGTAATGGCGGTCGGCTTGGGGAAGAAACGTGGGGACCTTAGTGGTTAAGAACATGGGCTCAGGAATCAATTTTGGCTTTACATCTTTGTTTTCCTGTGCTAGTCATGTCACCTAAGTCCAGTGGCAACCTCTCTGAGCCTTAATTGCTTTGCCAACGCCTGGCCTGGGGTTGGTATTCAGTAACTTCACTGACTTGATCTGTAAAACAGGCAAATTCGCATAACCCCTCATGGGGCTATTGAGGTGACCCAGTGAATGAATGTACAGACAGTGTCCGGCCCTGGTCCAGGCTCGTGCATGGAGCTCAGGGCTCGATGGCAGGAAGCGGGGGGAGGTGAGGCAGGTAGTCCCAGTCCTGGGGAAGGGGCTGAGACCTTTTGGGGTGACTAGTTGGGTTGGTTAAGTCAGTGCTGCAGTGGGTGTAGCAATAACTCCCTGCAGAGTTTGGACAGATGGGGGGGTGTCTGGTATCCTGTGGGCCCTGGCCTTTAGCCCGGGGTCCAGCTGGGTGCCAGGTCCACTGCAAAGGTGCAGGGCAGGCTGACTTTAGAGGCGTACTACTGTTGGCCTTTTCCCCACACAGGATTACCCCATCACAGATGTCTGCCAGGTCCTTCAGAAAGCCAAGGAACTCCAAGACTCACAGTAGCCTGGCGGCAAAAGGCCCATGTGTGGTAGAGAAGCCCCCGCCGACCCCGGTGCCCTGGCTTCTGGGACATGCAGAAGCCTGTGGGGTCCCAGCCAGAGGGGCCGATGCCGGACTGGCCTGCTCCAGGTCCTGTCTTGGCCTTCCGTCAGGGGCCTGCTGTGCCCCGCTCTCTCCTAACCACCGAGCCCAGGCTCCTCCCCACTCTTCAGCCCTGGACCCTCTATGCAGGCCATGAGCAAGGCAGGGGCTCGCGAGGTGGTTTTCCGGGGCTGGGGCAGACTGCAGGCCCCTCCCTGCCTCTGCTCTGCCCCTCCCTTCCTGCCCTCCTGCTCCGTCTTCTGGGCTCTGGTCAGGGAGGTGCTCAGCAAATGAGCCAGAAACCGCTTCTTCTGGAGGTTGGTGCTTCCTGGGCTTCTCCATGGGGAAGGTGACACTGTGAAGGAGCTGAGAGGCTGCCAGGCCCAGGTCATACCTTCTGTCCCTTTCCCACTGAGTGTATGTGTGTATGTGTGTGTGCGCTTGTGGGTTGCTGTGTATGTCTTATCCCCCGGCGTGAGCTGCTCCTCCAGTCTGTGTGTGTGTCCCTGTGTATGGGGGGAGGTGACCTCCCTCTCGTCTGTTTCTTTGTCTTGTCACCTCTCTGCCTCCGTCTCCCTTTCTCTCCCTCCAGCTCTTTCATGGAAGGTGTGTGGCTCTCATCTGTCCACTGCTGTCTCCATTGCTGTCCGTTTGCCCTTCTCTCTTGGGTTGCCTTATCCCCAGCCCCTCCCCTCCCCTCTCCTCAATGTTGGCTCAGAACCCTGGAAACAGAATGAAGAGTCTGGCTCAGCAGAGCTCTTGGAGGTCAGCCTTGGCCTTTGCAGCCTGCTCCCATCCCCCAGCACTGGGCGCCCAGGGCTCCCAGTCCACAGTGCCTCACTCGAGGGCCCTGAACCCGTGCCCCACCACGGAATTCTTGGAAACCCCTAGCTGCTGAGAACGGTTGGCCTGTGAAGAGCCAGTGCCCTCCTGCCCAGGGAGGGAGGAGAGGGAGAGCTGAGTCTTCTAGAGGTTTCCTCAGAGGTCCTCTCCCAAAGGAAAAAAAGCATTAAGGTTGGGATCCAGGTGCTCCAGAGGTGTAGTCGTTCCCATGGTTTCCAGGTGCCGGCCCAGGGCAGGCAAGTCCCTTTAAGGGCAAGTGGGACCAAAGGGAGCCTCTTGGGGGCGGGCAAGGCTGAGTTCAAAGGCCTGGGTCCTGTCCAGGCCTGGAGTGCCGTGTCTCCCCCCTCTCAGGGGAGCTGAAGGCGGTGCTGGCCCTTTTGTGCTCTGACTGGGATCTGAGGCAGGTGCATCTGGAGTAGAACAGCTGGCTCCTCCCACCCTGGGCCTGTTCTGAGCAGAACGCTCCCTCCTGCGAGGAGGCAGGGGGTTTGCATCTGGAAGGCTGGATAATTAGCTCGGGTCCTCTTCGTCTCCCCATACCATCCAGCAGGGCCCCCCACAGTCTCCCTGAGTCTGACAGCCAGGACTTGGGGCTGAGGGCTGGGAACAGCTTCCCCCAGGGCAGCTCCTGCCAGGCTGTCCCGTGGATGCTTCACTTGCCTTTTTCCTCCTCCTCTCCCAGCACAGTATTTGGGAGATTTTACTATTTATTCAGACTCCTGGTTATTTATTGCAGATTGGCAAGTGCTTGTTTTGGGGATGAAGGGTAGGGCTCGGAAAGTGGAAACATGGTCTTCCTGGCCCTTCAGGGCCACCAGCATCCTCTTTCCCTCTGCCTCTGGGACCTTCCTGGTTTTCCAGGAGATCCTGGCTGGGAGAGCTCTGAGCTCTGTAATCCAGCTGAGTGTAAGGGGAACTGGTGTGTAAAGACCCTGGCATGGGGCAGAAACACACTGCTTGCTAGCAGCCTGGTCACCCTCTTCCCAGAACTTGTAGACTGGTAGTTCACTCCCAGCTTGATCCCTTCAGAGCCTGAGTCTTGGGCCACAGCCTGGGACCTAGCAGACACTGCCCAGTACCCTGATGCATTCTCTCTTGCCTGTCCCTCTGTCCTCCCTCCTGGACCATACTACTTGAATCACTGCATCTGATTCGCCTCATTGGCAGACCTGGGTCCAGTGCCCTCTCCTTGGCCTTGTGAGAAAGGTCAGAAGAGCACAGGGACCATACCCAGGTTAGATGGAGCTCCCCCAGTGGGAGGACCTGCCCTTGGCAATTCCCCCTGCCCCACCCCAGACTCTCAAGGGAGGCCCCAAGAGCCAGAGACTCCCAGGCTTCCTACTTGGAAGCTCCCCCAGGACTTTGGACATGTACAGAATGAGCTGAATGAATTCAGGTTTCACTCCAAGGGTCAGAATGTTAGTCTGCTTTTGTTTTTTCATCTGTTTTGTTCTTTGAATCAGTGCTGTTGATGACAAGTTGTCTTTAATAAATCATGTGTTCTTTGCAGTAGATGTTGGTTCTGTGATGGGCTGAAACCTTTGAGACCTCAGAGCAGGAAAAAAAATGAGCAAAGTCAGGAGGTTCTTAAGAGTGGTTAAAGGAAAAGGCTAGGAAATTGTCCAAAGAGTCTGTTCAACTCTTCTTATGCAACTGCAGTTTGCAGCTATTGGGAGGAGAGTATGCAGTGGGGCAGAGGTATTACATTGTGATTTCATAGTAAGTTCTTTGAAAAAAAGTTGAACTTCAGCAAGTCATTTATAGCCCACCATCTGCAGAAAATCACTTGTGTTGGTCTTTTCTTTGCAGATGTAATTTTCATTAGATAATTAATACAATGATAATCATTTTCTTGATGCAGTTTTGTGTATTGTCTCTCCCCCCCCGCCCCCCCCCATTACCTTAGGTGGTGAGCAAACTAATGTGTGACTTAAAAATATTTTTACGACCTGTAATTCTATCTGATGTGCTAAAAATGTCCAAAACCAGTCCGTTTCTGAGTATCTTAGTTATTCCCTGGCCTCTATCATAAGTAATACGGTAGGGAATCCTTGCATTCCTGATTTGTTTTCCCAGTTCAGTCCTGTAAATTGGAAGGTAAGAACTTTTTTTTTTTTAGGGATCTTAGTTGCGGAGTGGGAGGGAACCTCCGTGGAGATCCAGGGAGCCGAAACGGGGCGGAGCCGGTTCCGAGACGGCCAATCATGAGTCGCGGTGGTGATGCCACGCCCCTTCCCGCAACTCCGCGTCCTAAAGGGGCAAAAAAAGGGCGTCCGGTCGTCCAGTTAGGTGGGCACAGACCCCCAGCTGTTGGACTGGACAGTACGTCGGAGTGTTCGTGAGTGGAAGGGACCGACGTTCCGCCGTCTCACGCCTCCGCTCCGCTCCATACCCGCGGTGGGCCCCCGCAGGCCTGTGCGGCCCCTTTAAGAGCCTCTGGGTCGGACGCTTGAGGTCGCGGCGTCCCTTCAGCGCCGCGAGCCGGCCCTCCCTCCGCGCCCCGGCCACCATCCGCGGCCATGCAGTTTCTTCGGGCCGGCTTGACTCTGGCCCTGGGCGCAGGGCTGGGTGCAGCTGCCGAGGGCTGGCGGCGGCAGTGGGCGGACGCGCGAGCGACGCCGGGGCTGCTGAGCCGGCTGCCGGTGCTGCCAGTGGCGGCGGCGGCGGGTCTTCCCGCGGTGCCCGGGGCTCCCGCGGGTGGCGGCCCGGGCGAGTTGGCCAAGTACGGGCTGCCCGGGGTGGCGCAGCTCAAGAGCCGCGCATCGTACGTGCTGTGTTACGACCCGCGCACCCGCGGTGCGCTCTGGGTGGTCGAGCAGCTGAGGCCCGAGGGGCTCCGCGGCGACGGCGACCGCCACTCCTGCGACTTCCACGAGGACGACTCGGTGCACGCGTACCACCGCGCCACCAACGCCGACTACCGCGGCAGCGGCTTCGATCGCGGCCACCTCGCCGCCGCCGCCAACCACCGCTGGAGCCAGAAGGCAATGGACGACACCTTCTACCTCAGCAACGTCGCTCCCCAGGTAGCGCCTGCACCGCCCCCCGCCACCACCCGCTCCCCCGACCCCGGCGGCGGTAAGCGAGGCCAGCGCTCGCCTCCTAGCCTCGATTTTCCCCTTTGCAGAATGGGAGAGTTGCCGAGTGTGCGCCCTCTAGGTCAGGAGCCTGGCCAAACGCACCAAGCGCCGCCGGCGGGAGGGATGGAGCGGTGGGGCGCTGAGTACACACTGCGCTCTGATCTTAACCGCAGGGCCCCCGAGCGCCTCCCTGAAATCAGGATGAAACTGTTATTCACCTGCCTCTTGCGCCGAGGAACTGAAGATAACTGTCCACATCCATAAAAGTACCAGGCACGCTTCCTGGTTCTTGGCAAGCATTTAGTAAATAAGAGCTATAATGAGGGAAGTCTCAGCGAGACAGTGACCGACCCAGGGTCACACCGCGGGAGGAGACCTAGGCAGTCTGTCTAGGGGACCCTGAGCTTTTTTTAATCCATTGTCCTACCCTGCCTGCGTTCCCGGAGTAAAAGGATAGATAGGTGCCCACATTGGCTGTTAGGAGCAGTCACTGTGCACCCTGGACTAGCCGTCCTTCCTCTAGCGCTGTTCCCACCAGGGCCTGACACCCACGTGGAGATGGATGGTGGGGCTCTGGGTAAGGTCCCCAGCCTCTGACCTGACTGGTGCTCAGCCAGGAGCAGAGACCCCCACCCATTTGACTGGACACTGTGCCAAGGACCTGAGAGCTCAGGTGGTGGAGTCAGATTTCTGACCTTCCCTGCTGGGCTCTGCAGTTCAGACTTTAGGAGAAGAAAGGGAGAGATGGTTGAAAGAGATGGTCTTCCCATGAGCTCCTGAGGCAGGAGCAAACCTGTTTCTCTCTGGGAGGTTTGCCCCTTCATACGGCTCTTTGGGGCTGAGAAACAGCTTGGAGACCTGGGATGCTAGCTCTCCCAATCTAGGTCAGGGGCAGCTAGCACCCTTGTGAGCTCTGTCTGGGCTAAGTGACTCTCCTTCCATGAACCTCACTTTCCTCTGCATGCTTGTCTTCACCCCCACACTGCTGTGGGAACCTTCTGGCTCTGTGCTAGTGCCTGCCCCTAGGCCTGGGGCAGCCCTCTGACTGCAAGTGTCCCAGTCAGTCTCACTGAAGCCCACGTCTCCTGCCAGGTGCCCCACCTCAACCAGAATGCCTGGAACAACCTGGAAAAGTACAGCCGCAGCCTGACCCGCACCTACCAAAATGTCTACGTCTGCACGGGGCCACTCTTCCTGCCCAGGTAAGGCTAGAGCTGGGGGGGCCTGGGGACAGCAGCACCTCCAGTCATCCCAACCAGGCTCCCCCCAGGCTGTGTCAACACTGCCAGGTCCCATTCATCTGGTTTCTGGGCAAGTCTGTCCATTCCTTGAGCCCCCAATTCTACTCTGCAGAGACCTTTGGGTTACTCACAGCTCTGCCCGGGTGTACCAGGCCCTGAATCTGCCCTTGTTCCTCCATGTCATCACTTGTCACATCCCCCTAACTCATGTTCTGCGCAGATAGAAAGCATCGCACGGGGTTCTCACCTTCAGTCCCCTCTGCCGGGGGCTTCCTTCCCCTTTGAAGCTTTTAACTGTGCCTTCCTGACCCTGAGCCTTCCCTGTTGTCCCTGTGCAGCTCACGCGGCCTCCAGATGGAAGGGACTGAGCTCCCCGGGCTCGCTGGCTGATTTTTCTGCTGAGGACTGGGATAGTGAGGCACGGGACTGTGGCCAAGAGCCGGCTCTGCTGGGGTCGGAACCCAGGCTGCCACCTGTCTCTGGGTTTGACGTTTAGTCGCTCAGTTGTGTCCGACTCTTTTGTGATCTCATGGACAGAGGAGCCTGGTGGGCTACTGTGGCTACTGGAGCCCGCCAGGCTCCTCTGTCCATGGGATTTCCCAAGCAAGAATACTGGGAAATTGTCATTCCCTTCTCCAGGGGATCTTCCCGACCAAGGGATCGAACCCACATTCTCTTGCATTGGCAGGTGAGTTCTTTACCACTGAGCCACCAGCGAAGCCTCAGTCTCTGGGTGCCCTGGGCAAATGACCTCAACATCCTCTCCTGTAAAATGGGGATAATACCAGTTATCTATGACATGGTTGTTTAAGGGACAGTGGGATAGTGGATGTCACCGTAGGAAGGACTCAGCACAGGCTTGCCGAGGCGCTGATACACTTTAATTAGCCAGTGCCTCCTCTGGCCTGCTGAAATGGAATGGACTGCTCGGAGACTTAGCCAGTCACCCGTCCAGTGTTCTGGGCATCTGCTCCGCCCCAGGCCGTGTGCTGGTGCTGGGCATTCTGCTATCACAGCCCCACCCTCCACAGGGAGAGACCGACAGTAGTCAAGTGTCCACAAGGAGGATGTGAATGAAGGCCCGATTCTTTCTGCAGCATTTATTGCCACCACCCACTCTCCCTGAACACAGTGTCGGGCATGAGGAAAACAGGGGAGGAATGAGTCTCTACCCTGCTGGGGCTCCCAGTCTCCTGGGCAAGCCAAGCCTGGCAGAGAAGCCTCACGCTGAGAGGGTGGTCCTGCAGGTGACACAAACTGGAGGTCCAATCAGGGAAGGCTGCCTGGAGGTGGTGGCCTTGGGTCTGAACAAGCCCCCTGGGAGTCCTGAAAGGCCATGTGCCTGGGTCTGCTCACAGGACAGAGGCTGATGGGAAGTCCTACGTGAAGTACCAAGTCATTGGCAAGAACCATGTGGCGGTGCCCACCCACTTCTTCAAGGTTCTGATCCTGGAGGCGGCAGGCGGGCAGATAGAACTCCGCTCCTATGTGATGCCCAATGCACCAGTGGATGAGGCGATCCCGCTGGAGCGCTTCCTGGTGCCCATCGAGAGCATTGAGCGGGCCTCGGGACTGCTCTTTGTGCCAAACATCCTGGCACGGGCGGGCAGCTTGAAGGCCATCACTGCGGGCAGCAAGTAAGGGCAGCCCCAGCTGGACTGTGGGCTTCGGGGACTGAATCAACTTAAAAGTGTTTGTTTTTAGAAGCAAGTCTCCAGTGTGTCTGTCCAGGTAACCCATGGGATCATCTGGCTTCATTGCTGCTTTTCTGCCATCCTGGGCCCCACAGAACCTTCAGCTGGGCCGGGCACCTGCCTGGGTAAGGCCAGGCTGCAGGGCAGCCAGGGAGATGAGGATGGCCTCCTGGAAGAGAAACACAGCAACAGGCTATGGCCCCACCGCCCAGGACCCCGGCCCGTGGGGTGTGCTGCCATCAGCAGGGTCCGGGGGGTATGGGGAGGCACCGCCCAGGACCCCGGCCCGTGGGCTGTGCTGCCATCAGCAGGGTCCGGGGGGTGTGGGGAGGCACCGCCCAGGACCCTGGCCCGTGGGGTGTGCTGCCATCAGCAGGGTCCGGGGGGTGTGGGGAGGCACCGCCCAGGACCCCGGTCCGTGGGGTATGCTGCCATCAGCAGCGTCCGGGACGGGGGTGGTGAGGAGGTGGGGAGACAGGTTCAGCTTCGTCCTACTGTCACTGGCCACCTGCAGGCCCTGCCAGGAAAGGGCCTCACCTCTCTGCTCCTCAGTCTCCTCCTCTGTAAAATGGGGCTGATCATAATACCTGCCTCCCAGGGTCAGCCGGGGACGGGGAGGCGATGGGCAGGAGGGCCCTCAGAAGTGTGGGAGCAGGGGTTCCTGCCAGGAGGCTGAGACTGGAAGCGCACAGCACCCGACCCTGGCCAGGCTCCCAGGGACAGGGAGACTGAGGCCGTCCACATGTCTGGTCACCACCGTTGAGACCAGTGGAGGCAGTGGCACTTCCCCCAGCAGGTACCACAGGCACGGCGTTCTGTGCTGCCCAGGTGGAAGGCTCTGAGAGAAGGTTGCATCCTGTCCCCCTGGGGACAGAGGTGCCAGCAAGGAGGGCTGCCTTGCCCACCACGGTCAGACAGGGGGAGTGGGACACAGAGCGTACCGCTAAGGAAACAGGCCTGGAGCAGGCGTGGTGGGTGTCCTGGGTCAGCCAGCCTGGGAGCAGCTGGACAGGCATCAAAACCAGGATTCCTGGCTTCCAGCTCACTCTCAGCTCACCCCTGCTGTAGTCCTGCTGTGGCGAGAGGCTGAGGGGGTGAGGGGACCACCCCAGAAGGCTGGCTCAGGGCAGCCCCACGCGGGGTGAAGGACAGTGAAAGAGTTGCAACCCCCTTGGCCAGACAAAGGGGCTCTGGGCCCTGCTGGTGGTGAAGAGGCAGGGCCTAGAGGGCGGGGAGGCGGGTGGGCTCACCTCTGTGCGGATGGTGCGGCTGCCCTGGTTGGGGCAGGTGTTGACGTACAGGTCGAAGAGGACGCTGGGTTCAGCCACCTCCAGGTTGGGGTCGGCATCCACTCCAGCTTCCAGCCCCTGGAGGCCCCCAAACACCACAAGAGCGTGCCTGGTGCCCACAGGAGGGGATCACTGACTGCCCATCACGGCCCTCTGAATGCCACCCCCAGGGCTCTCAGTCCTCCCATACATAGCAGGGGCCCAGTCCGTTCAGCTGTGTCCCCACCAGTCCGGTCCCCTGCTCTGTGCCCTGCCCCCTGGCTAGACCCACCTGAAGTTGGGAAGCTGGGCGGAGGCCACATCTGAGCCTCGCTCTGACGTCCCGATGGTCAGATCATAGCCGTCCTGGAAGGGGGCCTCAGCAAACACAGCACCTGCCGGGGAGGCCAGTTCTCTGGGGACCCTGTTCCCCCCAAGCCACTGTCACTTGGCTGCGTGTGTGTACTGGGGGGGTGGTGGAGATAAGGGAGCCACAGCCTGCACTCCCGCTGGAAAGTCAGGGGTGGAGTGGGCAGAGACCGTCCCTGAGCTAGCTTGGAGAAACAGCGGAGGCTGGGGAGGAAGGAACTCCAAAAACAAGTGGCGTACCTTTGACTCATCTGGCCCTTTTGCCCCCATTCCCAGCCCCATGGCAGACATCATTAAAGATGCTTTGCCTCAGGAGTCCTTAAAAGGATCCCAGGCAGTGCACTCGAGGCAAAGAGAGGGAAAAAGCATGTTAGCAGGATTAGGATCCCAGTCTGAAGCTCTCTGAGGTCCCCCAGACAGAGAGAAGAAGACAGATGTTCATAGGAGGAGGCTCTGTGCTTACTGAGGCAGGAGGCCAGGCGGACTGTGTAGCCCCAGTAGAGACCAGCTTTGGTCCGAGGGTCCTGTGACGACACGACCTTCCCCCGGCAGGTCTTGCTTTCTGGACAGGAAGCAGACAGGCTGTGAAGATGGGGTGAGGGGACAAGGGAGTGGAAGGAGGTGGCTCCGAGCCCGCAGGCTGGCTGGGCTGGGCACACTCTAGGATACCTGGGAGCTGGTTCTGGTTGAGCCGCACCGTCACCCGAAGTCCAGGCTCCAAGTTCTTGTCAATCTTCACCTCCTGGGAGGAAGCCAGAAAAAATCTGCTGCTCCAGCCCCACCCCCACTGCAGGATAGCAGGGGTCACTGCTCTCCCCGACACGGGGGCATCTCAGGGGTCCAGGTCACCCTTTGTGCCCTATTCCCCAGCGCCTGGGGCCAGACCTGCTCACAAAAGACCATTCTTGCAAAATGACTACCCCATGATATAGGTGAAAAGGATCAGTCCAGGCCTGGCACAAAGTAGGAAGTATTTCTGGGATGAAATCCCAGTTTCCTACATTTTGGGGAGCTCAAGTGCTCACTTCACTCCTCTGAGCCTTAGTTTCCTCATCTGTCAATAGGAGACATTCCATAAACAAGAGCTATTGTTACACTGCATGGGGTCTGGCATGAAGTAAACGCTGACCACATGGGAGCTGTGATGAAGGACACCTGATGTCTGTGTTGTGTCCCAATTTATGTATGTATTTTGGCCTCGATACACAGCTTGCGGGATCTTAGTTCCCTGACCAGGGACTGAACCAGCACCCTCGGCAGTGAAAGCTCAGTCCTACCACGGGACCACCAGGGAAGTCCCTGTCCCAATTCTGACTTCAGAATGGCTTTCTCCTTGGAGGGTTTCACGTGTATTTCTCCCTTCATCTGAGTCTGGGTATCCTGGTCTGCTTTCAGCCGGTTCTCTCAGGTCTGTTCTTTTTGCGGGAAGGGGATCCCCATACATTCAAATGTTTCTGCCTCTGACTCTAGGAGACATGAGATTAATAGGTGGCAAATGAATGCTCCAATCCAGAGCTCGGCATCACATGGAGCAGCCCCAGAGAGACTCTGAACTTGATTTTGCAGGCTTTTGTTTTGGTTTGTTTTTAGCACAAGGACTATCTTCTGTTGATATGCTTTTTTAAAAAAAAAAAAAACACAGTAAATTTTGCTCCTGGCTCTATCTGTTGAGCCCTATTTTAGGCACTTCTCTAACTCAAATCTGCATCAGTGGGGGCCTGGCGGGCAGAGAGGCCCGGGGCCAGGACTCCCCCTACATGCCCTCCAAACCCAGCGAGTGTCCGGGAAGCATGTCTCGACGCTCCCTCCAGTTCCTACCTTCTTCATGCCACAGTTGACAAAGGAGCCCTGGCCTGGCCGGGTGGGCCGGTCCACCACAACGCCCTCTCGGAACTCGGACTCCTCATCCTGACGCATGTGGTGAGGGCTGTCCAAGGGGTTCAGGAGCCCTGCGGTTGGAGAGGGGCCAGGAAGAGTCTGGGAGGTGCAGAGGCACACGGGGTTGGCGGGGGGTGGGGTGAGGCTGGGAACCCTGGTCCAGGATCCAGCTCGGCCACAGACTTGCTATGTGCCGTCAGGCATAGGTCTTGCTTTCCCAACTGGACCATGAGTTCTCAGGGCCTGGAGGATGATCCATGGGAAATGGGGGTCAGGTCCCCTCCCCCAGCCTTACCTGCAAACTGCAGATCCTGATGCTTGGGGAAGAAGGCCTTTCTTAGGTACCTAGGAAAGAACGCAGAGCTCGGGAAGTTGCCAGGGAGGCCATGTCCTGCCCAACCTGCACCGTGACCGCCCCTCTGCCCCGGTCTGGAAGGTCTGTCCTTACTGTGGACACTCCAGGTACTGCAGTATCCGGGCCAGCTGCACGCATGCCTGCCCCTTCTTGCCGACTCCCCTGAATTCCCCCTCCACAGTGCTAGGAGAGAAAGACAGGGATCCAGCCCACCGGGTTCTCTTTGAGAGCTCCCCCACCCCCAGTATAACCTCAGCAGTGCCCCTGCTTTGCAACTCGACCCACCAGGGTGACAGTGGGGGCACTCAGACAGGATTCTCGGCCCAGGCAAGAAGGCAGGGAAAGAAGTGCAGCCCAGCCAATCCTGGCAGCCCCCCACTTCTCCCCACACCCGCTGGGACCCTGCTGGAGGCCCCTCACTTGGCATCTTGGCCTTCTTCATCGAACACCACAATCTCATCCACACAGAAGATGGCGCAGGCTCTGGCGATCTGGCCGGCCAGGTAGGTGCGAAGCTCTGGTGATTGGGCATTGTCCAGGATAGAGCCTGGCAGGGCCACGCTCAGGGTGTAGTGCCGCCCTAAGCAGGACAAGGGTGTTCATGGTCAGCTGGAGCAGCCAGGGCCATCTCTCCCCTCCCTCCCTCTAATCCCAGGGCCTAGAGTTAGAAAGTTTTCTTACTGGGAGAAGTTTTGAGATAAGTAGCATAGATTCCCTCTCCAGATCTCAATCTCCCCAGGAAGAAAATGAACTTGGGGGTCTCCAGGGCTCCCATAAACAGGACGTACCACTAGCTACGGCAGGGAGTGGTTAGAGGCATTGACCTATATTCACATCCTCTGCCTCCTACTGCCTCAGTTCTCCAGGCAACAGAATGGGATAATGATGAGAGTTAATATTTATTCTTACAGGACATCCCTGGTGGTCCAGCGGTTGAAATTCTGTGCTTCTAATGCAAGAGGCATGGGTTCAATCCCTGGCTGGGAAATTAAGATCCTACATGTTGCAGAGCAGCCTCCGCAAAATATAATAATTCTTAGTGCCTTTTATGGGTATAAACTTAACCAATAACCCTAGGAAGTAGGTACTACCATGATCCCCACTGACAGCTGGGGAACCTTTAGCCTAAAGAGGTCAAATACATGACCCTGCTGCTTGCTGCTGCTAAGTCGCTTTAGTTGTGTCCGACTCTGTGCGACCTCATGGACTGCAGCCTACCAGGCTCCTCCGTCCATGGGATTTTCCAGGCAAGAGTACTGGAGTGGGGTGCCATTGCCTTCTCCGAATACATGACCCAAGGTCACACAAAAGGCAGAACAGCTGACTTCAGAAAAACCACCACACTTTTGCTCCCAGAGTCATCCAAAAGGAGCCATATGAGATAAAGGGCTTTCCTGGTGTCTGAGACAGTTGACATGCTCAGCTTCTGTCCCTACTGTCACCATCATCACTAACAACCACTGGGCTTACAGAGTAAAACATGGCCCCCTGATACTCCAGAATTTTGGGTCTGACCAAGGAGGAAAGATACAATTTGTTAGGGTAGATGCAGATGTACAGAAGGACACAATGTACGGAAGGATATCAGGACACAATGTGGGATTAGAAAAACCAGGTCCAGAAGTGCATGGATTGAGCAGCCTCACTTCCGTAAAATTGTATCTACATACCTCTTCGCCTAGATATAAGTGGGTGTTAACAGCTAGGGGCTTCCCTGGTGGCTCAGGTGGTAAAGAATCTGCCTATAATGCAAAAGACCCAGGTTCAAAACCTAGATCAGGAAGATCCCCTGGAGAAGGAAATGGCAACCCACTCCAGTATTCTTGTCTGGAGGATCCCATGGACAGAGGAGCCTGGTAGGCTACAGGCCATGGGGTTGCAAAGAGTTGGACTGCACTTTCACTTTAACAGCTGGAGAAACGTTAACTGCAATGTTTGCTGAGATTTTTGAAATAAACTTAAAGCACACAGAAAATGCTCAACAAAAAAGTAAAAACTGTGACAACCCACTCCAGTATTCTTGCCTGGGAAATCTCATGGACAGAGGAGGCTTGTAGGCAACAGTCCATGGGGTCGCAGAGTCAGACACAACTTAGCAACTGAACAAAACAACACACCATCAGGCAGATTGTGATTTGGGGAAATAGATCTGGATGGAAATGTGGCATAAAAATGGAGAGTGAAGTGACCTAGCAATATGGAATAAGGAGTTTTGTAAGAAATTAAAATCTGTGTATAGAATAGCAGTTGCAAATATTCAAACAATAAAGTATGGCTAAAGGAGCTAAAAAAAAAAGTAAAAACAGCCATTACAATGATAAGGTTCTAGAAGTTATGATATATGACATTTATACTCCAGAGAACTGAAATCCACCTAAGTAGGAGGTTAGGGCTCAGCTTTTTGGGTCCCTCCCATTCTCCAAGCCTCAGTTTCTCCATCAGGACAAGATGTCTGGGCCCAGTGGCCCCTAAGGGCCCTTCCGCCTGTGACATTCTCTGCCCTGCCCAGGACCTGGCTTGCTCACCCTGATCCTCGCTCTGGGCAGCTGCCTCTTCCTCCTGTTGGCGCTTTGCCTGTTCCTCCTGCGCTCGCTGTCGCTCTAGTTTCTTTGTCATCTTGAGATCCTTCCACTTCTTTTTCTCCTCTTTTTCTGGATAAGAGGACATCCCAATTGGTGGAGGGAAGAGTGACTTGGAGGTAGGAAAGACTTGGAACAGCCCAGGAGGTGGTGTCCTCACAGTAGGTCAGCCTGGGTAGACTCCAGTGCTGCCCAGAGAGCAGCCAGAAGAGCCTTCCATAGCTTCTGGCCTCCTCATCCCCATTTTGGGTACTAGTGAGACCTACAGGGGACAAACCTGGTGGCTTTTCCCCAAGATTCAGCTGTGCACTGATGGAGTGGGGGAGGTGAGCACAGACACTTAGCTCCCCATTGGGCCCACCCCGCCCCCCAGTCCCTGACTTACTCTGTTGCTTCCACTTCCGCCACTCCACCCTTTGGCCATGTTCGCCCTGGAGAAGGAGTCGGGGGGAGACACAGGAGTGAGGCTGAATGGTCACATCTGAGGGGGGCGGTTCCCACTTGCTGCTCCCCAGCTGTGCCCTCTCTTTAAATGAGTCGTTGTTGGTTAGTCGCTCAGTCGTGTCCAACTCTTTGCAGCCCCATGGACTGTAGAGCTACAGGCTCCTCTGTCCATGGGATTCTCTAGGCAAGAATACTGGAGTGGGTTGCCATTTCCTTCTCCAGGGGATCTTCCTGACCCAGGGATGGAACCCGGGTCTCCTGCATTGGTAAGCAGATTCTTTACTGTCTCAGCCAGTAGGGAAGCCCCTTTAAACGAGGGTGGTGAGGAAACGAGGAACACCTCCCCCCGCCCCCCACACACACTCACACACTCAATACTGCCCGGGAGAGAGAGAGTCAGGAGAGCAGGGACATGTACCCCCAGAGCCTGAGACCACAGCTGGAACACAGTAAGCATTCAGTAAGTTGTTAAATGAGTTCCTACTGGAGAGAACAGGAAAAGGTTCAGGGGGACAGGACCTGCCCACTGCCGCCCTGGTTATCAGAAGAGATACGCCATGAAAGCGCTCGGGAAGGCGAGCCGGATCCTGCCTCCCGAATCCGAGCCCTGGGCACAGTTGCCACTGAGGACTCCGGGAAGGTAATGAGTTACCGACGCTGTCCCGGCTCCGACTCAGACCCCGGTTTCCACCTTAGCTGCTCATCGGGACAGTGGTAACTGAGGCCACAAGCAGGCAACAAGCTCGGGGACTCCGGCCGCGGAGCAGCGACGCGCCTGGAGCTAGAGGTGCGACTCAGCCCCACCACGGGGCCCCACGCGGCTCTGGCTCTTGACCCCAACCCCGCGCCCTGCCGCAGGGTTCTCACATCCCTCCACCTACCGGACCACAGGGCCGCTTCCTCGCGCGCTCCGCCATGTTTGCCGCACGCCGTCGGCCCCGCCCGGCCAATCAGACTCACCCCTTCCGGCAACAGCTCCTTCGAGCCGTCCAATCAGAGAGCCAGTGGCGCGCGCGGGCGTGGCCTAGGTGCGGGGCTGTTAAGAGCACGTGGACAGGGGAGGGCTGGAGGTGCTGGGTGGGCTGCCTAGGGGCGGATGGGGGGCGGCACCCGGTGAGCGGGAGTCGGCTCCGGCTTGGAGGCAGGGGGGTGGGTGGTCGTGTTGAGTTCATCGCAGGCTTGAGTGTCCCAGTGCTCAGAAACCTTGGACTGCCAGAGCGCTCCCCTCCGGCTCTGGTCGAGCGCAGAAGTCAAACCTCTCCTTTGTACATGGAGATCTTGGGGCCTAGAGCTGGAGTGTGACTCAGAGCTGGCAATAAGTAAATCCAGTTATTTTATAGATTCGTTCATTTACTCTCTCTTTTAATTATCAAACTTTATTATTTTAGAGAAGACCAGTTCAGTTCAATTCAATCGCTCAGTCGTGTCCGACTCTTTGCAACCCCATGGACTGCAAGCAGCACGCCAGGCCTCCCTGTCCATCACCAACTCCCAGAGTTTACTCAAACTCAAGTCCGTTGAATCGGTGATGCCATCCGACCATCTCATCCTCTGTCGTCCTCTTCTCCTCCCGCTTTCAGTCTTTCCCAGCAGTCTCTTCAAATGAGTCAGTTCTTCGCATCAGGTGGCCAAAGAGAAGACTTGGGTTTACCAAAAATTGAACAGATAGTACAGAGTTCCCACAGTTTTGGTAATTAACATGCTGCCTTAAGGTATACATTTGTTAGAGCTGATGAACCAGTACTGATGCTCTGGTCATAGTTTAGCTGAGGGTTCCCTCTTTGTGTTGTACATAACTGTGGGTTTTGACAAAATACGTAATGTCATATCTATCATTGCCATGGAATTCTCCAGGCAAGAATACTGGAGTGGGTTGCCGTTTCCTTCTCCAGGGCATCTGCTTGACCCAGGGATCAAACCTGGGTCTCCTGCATTGCAGGCAAATTCTTTAGTGTCTGAGCCACCAAGGAAGCCCCAGTCATTACAGTATCATACAAAATTGATTCACTGTCCTAAAAATCTGTGTTCCACCTACTTTCCCCACTTCTCAAGCCCCTGATAACCACTGATCTTTTTTTTTAAAAAACTGTTCTTATAGGTTAGCCTTTTCCAGAATGTCATATAATTGGAATCAGACAATATGAAGCCTTTTCAGACTCCCTTCTTTTATTAAGTAATATGTATTCAAAGTTCCTCCCTAGCTTCTAGTGGCTCGATATCTCATTTCTTTTTCTTGCTGGATAGTATTCACTGGCCTGATATCTCATTTCTTTTTCTTGCTGGATACTATTCATTGTATGGATATGCCAGCATGTCTATCCAATCACCTTTCAAAGGACATTTGGTTGTTTCCAGTATTTGGCAATTATAAATAAAACTGCTGTAAATATTCATGTGTAGGTTTTTGTGTGGACCTGACTTTTCATCTCATTTGGATAAACAACTGGGAAATCTGATTGCTGGATCCAAGGGTTAGACTATGTTTAACTTTGAAAGAAGTCACCAAACTGTCTTCCAAAGTAGTTACATACCATTTTGTTACATCTCATTCCCACCAGCAAGGAATGAGATACACTTTCTTTTTTAAATGATAAATTTGAGTCAATATTCATTCAGTCAACAAATATTTATCAAGCTGAGCCTATTTTGTTTGAGGCAGGAACTCCTGGCAGTGCTGACTGCCAGGGACACAATGGTCTGCAAAAACAAATACTGATCTGGAGTTTACAACCTAGTAGAAGAGAGATTAATTTCTAATTCAATGTGTGTGTTAACATTATAGGGGTTATTGTGTTTACTTCACCATTCCCGCCTTGCCCGTATCTTAATGAAATGCAAATTCATTTACACATCTCAAGTTGGCTGAGGTTACTCGGTCCAAGACTTGCAACCTCTGTAGAGTCACAGATTTGAGTTAAGGGCAGGTTCTAGCTTGGTTCATGATCTATGAAACCTTTGGTCAGAGTGGTTCTCATCTCGAAGAGGCAGCAGAGTGAGCTGGTGGCGTGAAGCCACACCTTAATTCCCTGCCCAGAAATTGAACTTTTTGAATCTGGGGGGTGGGGGATGGTCATGGGAATGCTGGAATTTGCAGTCAGCCAGGCAGAAGTGTTTCCATTCAGGTGACCTGGATGGATACCAGGAATCCTTGCCACCAGACCAGCAAGGGCTAGAGGCTATCTTTCCCTGGCTCTTGCCTCCAATGAAATATCTCACTGAAGGCAAAAACTGTAAAAATGGGCACAAAGTTTATTATTAGAGACATAGCACAACAAGTGGGAGAACACACAGAGAAACCGTCCGTTTAGTTAAGAAAGAAGCAAGACAGGGGCACCTGGAGAGAAAGTGTGTGGGCATCTTCCCTAATGAGGAGGAACCAGAAAAAAGGTGGTTAAAAAACTTATATAGGGCAGTTCTTCTGGGTCTTTGTTTAACTTTGGCCAACAATCTGATTTATTTTTCCACACCTGACCTGCCCTAGGCAACAGGTGTGCACAACTTTTTTCCAAGATGGATTTCAACGCAGAGGCTTTTGGGAGTAAAGAAGCATTACTTATTGTGGCTTGGCACCCCCTGACTTTTGACCCCATGGGAGCCTTTCTGCCCATGTGCAATGTCTCCCTTGCCCCGTGGATGGGAGATATTTGGCCTCTTGATTCGTTACTCAAACAAGGTTTCGCTGCTCTCTGTTCCTGCCATGACTTATCTTAAGGTGTCTTCAGGAGAGAAAGCCTGGTTATCTACCCTGTTTTAGTTGTTACTCCCATTTTGGAGAGCAAGCAGGAAACTGGTTGTAAATATCTAACCTGAAGCCCACCTATCTCCTGTCTCTGAAAATGCAAACGAGGGGTGTATGTGTATATGTCCAGCCTGAAGTCCACTTTTTTCCTGCCCCAAGAAATGTAAACAGGAGCCTCCTTGCAAATACCTAGCCTGGGACCCATATGCCTTCTGCCTCAGTTCTATCCAAGAAATCCTTTTTTTCTTTCTTTCTACCTACCTGTCTGGTTTCCTTTCTTTCTTTTAAATGGGCATCTTTATTCATCTATAATGATGATTAGCTGGATCATGACTAGAGAGAGAAATTTATGAAAAAAAAAAAAGACACCTTAGTACTCAAAACTATGAGCATAGTTTCTCCTCTGGCTCTGGAGGATGTTCTTATCATCAGACTATGTGTAGTATGGCAAAGGGGCCCCAAGCCTGAGCCTCTGAGTTGTATTGTTTCACAATCTTGACTTTGAAACAGTGATAGTAGTACAAAGTCATTGTTTGGAAAGGGAGAGAGTGGAGTGTCCTATGTCACAACACCAATATGTTCCAAATAGCAATTCTCTGACACCAAGTGGGTGTCCTAAGCTTTGATTCAATTCTGACAAGTTGGCACAGATCTCATAAGTTAAGGGAGCCCACAAGACTGCCTCCCACTTCAGATGCCAGTGGCAAGTGGGGTGCCCAGCCACCCACAACTTTTGCCTGGCTGACTGCAAATTCTGGCATTCCCATGACCACCTCATGGGAGTGGTGGTTTTGACCTCATTGAAATTCAATAATTTGCTGAAACGATTCACAGCCCTCAGGAAAGCACTATACTTACAGTTATATTTTAGAAGATACAACTCAGGAACAGCCCAGTGTAAGAGGTACCTAGACTAAGGTGGAAAGGTGGGCATGGAATTTCCATACTCTCTCTGGATGGGCCACCCTACAGCTCATTGAGGTCTTCACCAGCCCAGAAACTCCTTGAACCTCATTGATTCAGGGTTGTTTTTATCGTATTTAAAAAAACATTTTTTTTATGTGTTTATTTTGGTTGTGCTGGCTCTTTGTTGGTGCGCAGGCTTTCTCTAGTTGTGGTGAGTAGAGGCTACTCTGTAATTGTGGTACACGGGTTTCTCATTGCGGTGGCTTTTCTTTTTGCAGAGCATATGCTCTGGGGTGCAAGGGCTTCAGGAGTTGCAGCTTCCAGGATCTAGAACACAGGCTCAGTAGTTGGTTTTTCTTTTTTTTTTTTAAGCTCAGTAGTTGTGGTGAGCGGGCTTAGCTGCTCTGTGGCATGTCATGTATTCCTAGATCAGGGATCAAAACTGGGTCTCCTGCACTGGCAGACGGATTCTTCGCCACTGAGCCACCAGGGAAGCCCTTTTCTTTAATTTTTAAAAATTAAAAAAAAAAATTATTTGCCTCTGCCGGGTCTTAGTTGCTGCATGCAGGATCTTTAGTTGAGGCATTCCGGCTCTTCGTTGTGGCCTGTGGGAACTGGTTCCCTGATGAGGGGCTGAACCTGAGCCCTCTGCACTGGGAGTGCGGTCTTAGCTGCGGGACCAGCAGGGAAGTCCCAGTTGAGGGTTTTTATGTGGGATTTTATTACATATGCACAACTGATTAAATCATTAACCATGTAACTGAACTCAATGGCCAGTCCTTTACCCTCCCTGGGGTCTGGGGTTGGAGCTGAAAATTCTGACCTTTTAAATACATGGTCGAATTGGATTCTGAAGGAAGTGGGAGAGCCGCGGTTTGGGCAAGTACTCCGACAAGGCCGTGGAATTCCCGAGGTCCGTGGACGTGTTTTGCTTCAGAGGTGAAGAGCGAAAGTCAATAGAGAGTTTCTGGAGACTTAAGCTAAGCTCAGCGTAACAAGGAAAGGAGGACGTGGTGCGGTCAGTGGGGCAAGGTTGCACTTTAGATCCCAGATGACAGACCTGTAAAGGCCGAGCAGACCTTTGACTGACAAGATGGGGTGCTCAGTGAGACCATCACAGCCTGCAACTAGGACTTTATCTTGAACTCAGGTGATGACTCTGACTACTGTGAGAAAATGGAATTGAGGAGTGGCAAGACTAATGGAAGGAAAACCAGTTAGGCCATCATTGTAGTAATCCAAGGAAAAGAAGAAGATGGCGGCCTGTACTAGGGCATTGCCAGTGTGGATGGAACTGTAAATCCCGGAGGGATTCAGGAAGTAGAACTGGCAAGATTTGACAACTGGATTGGAAGGACAGAGGTGAGAGAAATAAAGGGTAGAGTTCCATAAACAAGTTTTAGTGAAGACCCTATTTGCTGTCATATGTTCACAGCCTGAAAGTCCTTAGACATTGCAGATGCTTGATAAATATCTGCTGAGTGAGAGTTTTCTGGCTTGAGCCTAGATCAATGGAATGCCATTTTCTGATTTAGGAAACGTAGAGGTGAACTCACTGGGGGAGGTGACTGATAATTGAGTTTTGGATGTGTCTAGCTCAAGATGCCTGTGGGAGATACACGTGAAAATGACAGATACGATGCAATTGGGAGAAATCTCAGACATATTCTTTGTATACTTTAAAAAAATAAAGGTTTATGTTTTATTGAAAAAAAAAAAAAAATACATGGTCGAGGGTGTCCCTGGTGGCTCAGTGGTGAAGAATCCACCGGCCAACGCAGAAGACACAGGTTTGATTCCTGATCTAGGGTGATCCCTCATGCCGAGGAACAGCTAAGCCTGAGAGCCACAACTACTGCAGCCTGCAGCCCTGGAGCCTGCGTTCTGCAGCAAGAGAAGCCGCTGCGATGAGAAGTCCAAGCACTGAAACTAGAGAGTAGCCCTCACTCCCCACGACTAGAGAAAAGCCTGAGCAGCACGAAGAACCAGCACTGCCAAAAATAAAAAATAAGTAAATAAAATTATTTAAAAAAACACATGGCTGAAGGGGTTCATTGGAATAACAAAAGACACTACCATCACTCAGGAAATCCAAGGGTTTTAGGAGCTCTGTGCCAGGAACCACAGACAAAGACCCAACACATTTGATTATGTTGTATGTTCCCATCACCTCCCCCAATTACATCAATGATATGAGCAAAACCCATGAGCTTGTTACACAAATGCAACTTCAAGACAAGTCCCCAGCACCACCTTCCAAAAAGGATTTCAGAAGGTGCCTTGTTTTCCAGTGGGAGGCACACTCCTGGGATCAAATCCCTCCCTTTACCTTTTACCAGCAGAAGGGCCTCAGACAAGTCACCCAACCTCCAAAGTGGTTTCCTCGCTTGTAACATGAGACAATAACTCCTGTCTCAGGGGCTGTTTAATGAGATGATGGGCATCCAGGTGTCCAGGAAGCAGGGGTGCACGATAAATGTTTGGTGAAACATTCCTTTGCCCTTCTATTCTTTTGTTTTTTAATTAATTATTTTTGGCTGTGCTAGGTGTTCATTGCTGCATGCCGGCTTTCTCTCGTTGTGGCGAGAGGGCGCGACTTTCTTGTGCCTCGCAGGCTTCTCTTTATGGTGGTTTCTCTTGTTGCAGAGCGCAGGCTCTAGAGTACGAGATCTTCAGTAGCTACAGCATGTGGGCTGGGTAGTTGTGGCACACGAGCTTAGTTGCCCTGTGGCATGCAGGATCTTCCCAGACCAGGGATTGAACTCATGTCCCCTGCATTAGCGGGCAGATTCTTAACCACTGGACTAGGGGAATTCCTCCCCTTTTGTTCTAATTATGTAATCCCTGGCACTCCTGGCCTGGACTCTGAACCTTGTGGGACTTGATTGTCTGTATCTTTCCTGTTAGACCCTCAACTAAGGCCCCCCTTCTTTGGGCTCCAAAACGTTTGTAGAAAGTCTGGGAGCTGAGGTTCAGGGAGGTGGAAGATGCCTTCTGTTCTGACTGAGTCCCTGCCAGCAATCAGCACCAGGGTGTGAAGTGGAGAGAAGCGGCCAATAAGAGTCTGAATAGCTTAAAACTTTATTATGGGCAAAAAGTACTGGCTTGAGGATTCAAGCCTAAATACAACCTCCCAAGAACAAATGTAGATAAGGAAGGGGAAGGATGTCTAAGGCCTGGCTGGGGCCAGGACTGGGACCAAGGCCAGTACGGTATTGAAGTCTGCCCTTGGAGTCCCAGCTGAGCCTGGGAAGGGGCGAGGGGACCCAAGACCATTCAGCCCAGCACAGGTAACACCAGGGAGAGGCCCCGGTCAGGCCTCCCTCACCTCTGCGACAGGAACAGAGCCATACACCATGAGGAAGTGCTCCCGACTCCCCAGAGACCAAAAGCAGGACTCTTCCCTGGGATCATTCTGTGTTACAGAGACGGGCTCCTCCAGTACCTTCTACCTTCCACCTGGGATGGCTGAGAGCTGGACAAAGACAGAGCCTCACAGAGTGTGCAGGCACCAGGCAGGGCCCAGGGCTGATGTCACGACCTCAGGGCGTGAGCTCAGCCTTCCACTTCTGCAGCTTCTGGTCCATGGCCCGGAGCGTGGATTCATCCTGCACCAACACAGACAAGTCCTACCCCTCTCCCCAGGAGGCCTGGGGAGGCTTGGGGAGCTCTGCCCTCCCCAGGCATGTCCGTTACCTTCACGAAACAGAAGCGGATATAGTGGTCAAAGAACTTCTGGTGGGGCACGCTGAAGAAGATGGACACTGGAATGGCCACCAAGCCCTGGGGAGGAGGAAGCCCATGTCTCAACCGTCCCACAGCCTGGCAGGCCTCTGGGGGGCCTCAAGGGGTCAGAGGGTTCCATGATGAGGAAGGAGAAAGAGAATAAGCTTTAATGCAGCACCTCCCAGGGCTGTGTCAAGCTCAGAGGTAAAACAGCCCAACGCACCATTCCAAGTCCCTCCTTATGTACAGAGGAGAGAGGGAGGCTGAGAGCAAGGAAGATCACCTGGCAGGTCAGGGGCAGAGACATAGAAGAAATGTCTCAGAATTGCAGCACTGAACTGGATGGACCTCAGAGTTAATGGGCCAACTACTCACTGTACAGGGTAGACTGAGACGCTGAGAGGGCAGGAATTCCTGCCAGCCCACAAGGCCTATTTGAGCACATTAAAAACAGGCTCCCCTTTCCTTGAAAGGGATACAACCCTGAACCACGGCTCAGGGCAGAGGCCGGGCTAGATTTTGACCCATCAGCTCCGGGGTCAGTCACCCTTAGCACTGCACAGCCTGTAAAACACACAGAGCGCCCCGGCAGAGGCCCAGCCCACCTTATTCTTGATCATCCACTTGACGAAGCGTCTGTCATAGGGCTCATCTGCCGCTCCAGGCAAGTCAGGCATCTTGTTTTCTGGGGAACAGAGGACGTGCTGAGTCCTGGGCAGCCTCCAGGGTCCCAGCCTTGGCCCCGCCAGGCCGGGCCCACTTACTGAAGTCCGAGATGTCTGTGATGAGGAAGTAGCTGCCCTGGGGGATCACGGGCCGCAGGCCCACGGACTGTAGGCTCTGTATCATGTGGTCGCGGCAGCGCTGGATGTACTGTGGGAACTGCACAAAGTAGCTGCTGGGTTGGCCGAAGTGCACCTGCTCCCGCTCGAAGCTCTGAGCCACTGCAGCCTGGGGAGGGTGTGGGGGCGGGTGGGTGGCGCAGCGAGCAGGTCAGGTGTGGCCCGACCCTGGAGCTGGCCCAAATCCCTTTGTTGCCCCGCCCCTCCCCTTCCGGGCCCCGCCCCCCTCACCTGGCCCTGCGTGGCACAGCTATAGATGGAGTTCTGGTGCACAGTACGCAGGTGCTTCATGAGGCTGTCCGGGCCCAGGACCCAGCCCACCTGGACCAAGAAGACAGGGAGGGGGTGAGGCCCTTGGGGGCCCAGCCAAACCCTTTCCGGATTCCCAGGCCTGCCTCTCCCACCAACGATTGTAGAGGGAGGGGGCCCCCCCAAACTCTCGTTGCCTCACCTTCCAGCCTGTGACACTGAAGGTCTTGCCAGCGCTACCGATGGTCAGGGTGCGTTCCCACATGCCAGGGAGGCTGGCTGCCCAAGATCAAAGAGAGCGGCTGCTGAGACGGGGGTGGGGGCACGGAGTGGGGGCTGGGTCCCAGCAGGGACCCAGGCTCTCAGCGCCGCAGACTCCACTCTGTGCTAAGCTATTTCTAAGACTTATTTGAGCCCCTCCTCATGACAACCCCGGGAGCTAGGTGCCACTGTGTTCCCCTGTCCTGAGAGAGGTGAAGTCACTGCCCCAGGTCACCTGACCTGTGAGGGTCCAGACCCCTCGGTCCTAATCACCAGGCCTGCGCTGACACCGGACTGGACTCAAGGCCCTGCTGTGGGGGTACGGGGGTGCCCTGGCCGGCTTGGCTCACCGATGCTGATGTGCTGGAACCCATCGAAGACCAACCACTGGTACACCTCGTCCGTGATGCACACAACGTCATGCTGCTGGCAGAGGCTGGCCACCAGCTCCAGCTCTTCCCTGGAGAACACCTGCGGGGACCGTCCCCCACCAGAGAGGCCATCTCAGAGCGATGCGAGCACACGGCCAGAGCCGGTGCCAAGGGCTTCTCTGCCCTCTCCTACCCCCGCAACACTGACCCTGTGAGGTCAGTTGTGAGATAACAGAAAATATCTCTGTTGGTCTCTGCCCCGGTTTCTGGCACCGAACTCCTAAAACCCGTGTAACTACTAAGTGGTAAAAGCACTAGAAGGCTTCCCCGGTAGTGCTTGTGGTAAAGAACCGCCTGCCAGTGCAGGAGACGTGAGAGATGCGGGTTTGATCCCTGGGTCAGGAAGATCCCCTGGAGGACGGCATGGCAACCCACTGCAGTATTCTTGTCTGGAGAATCCCATGGACAGAGGAGTCTGGTGGTCTACAGTCCATGGGGTCGCAAAGAGCTGGACATGAGTGAAGCGCCTGAGCACGCACGCCCAAGAGCACGAGAAGCATCTTTTGCTCTAATGTTGAGTCTTTGATTCTGACCTTGACACACGCAATGGAAACCCCTGTACACCCCTAAGAGGTAAGAGCACTAGGAGCATTTCTGTTCCAGTGAGGTGACTCTAAGTGGGCTCCTGGATCAGGGCTGGTCACCAGAAAGACCACGCAAGCCATGATTAGAAGCCTGAAATCTTCAGCCCCCTCCCATATCCCACTTCCTGCTACTTCCCCAGAGAAGGGAGAGGGGTTGGAAATGGAGTTGATAATTGATGCCTCCATCAAAATTCCGATAGGATGGGGTTTGGGGAGCTTGCAGAGGTGGGTGAGCTCATGCGGGCGCCAGGAGGCTGACGCACCCCCAACTCCACAGGGACAGAAGCAAGCACCTGCTCTCGGGCACCTCCCAGACCTTGCCATAATTGTCTCTTCATCGGGTTGTTCATCTATATCCTTTATCATCTCCTTTCATAAAGTGATAACTGTTAGTAGCTGTGTCCCTGAGTCTTGTGAGCCACTCAGATGAATTGAACCTGAAGAGGGGGTTTTGGGCATCTCAGATTTACAGCCATAGGTCAGAAGCACAGGTTATAAACTGACTTGTGATTGGCGTCTGAAATGGGGTGGGGGGCAACCTTGCCAGACTGAGCCCTTGACCAGTGGGAGCTGACACCATCTCCAGGTAGACAGTGTCAGGACTGAATTAAATTGAACTGAATTTTGTGGGACACCCAGCTGGTCTCACAGAATTGCTTAGTGTGGGGAAAAAAGAACCACACATATCTGGTGTCAGAAGCTTTGTGAGTGTGATAATGGTGTGACAGTAAAGGAGAAACACAGGTGGAAGACTGGGTCTTCCTTGACATCGGTTCTGTCATGTTCCCATTTTACAGGTGAGAAAAACTGGAGCGGTGAAGTCACGGGTCCAGGTCTGTGGGGAAGTAATAGAGGCTTCCAGCCTAGCCCACTATTGCTGACACCTTCCCTGGGGATCCCTGCCCCAGGCCCTGGGACCCCTAGGAGCCTTGATCCTCACAGCTCACCGAAGTTAGCTCTCCCACTTCACAGATAAGAAAACTGAGGCCCCGTGGCAGCACACGAGCAACAGAACAGGGACACAAACCAATCTGGAGGGGTGCCCAGGGAGGAGGTCACTCAGGTACCTTTCCCAGGGGGTTGTTGGGTGTGTTGAGGATGAAGGCTTTAGTGCGAGATGTGAACTTGCTGGCCAGCTCCGTGGGATCCAGCTGCCAGTTGCTGCTGGAATCTGGTTCTCCCTTCTGGGTGGGGCTCTGCAAGAAGAGGGGGGTGGGGTGGCAATACTTACTTCCTGACTTTCATCTCTAGGAATTCGGCTCCTCCCCTCAGGCATCTGTCTCCACCGTCTCTACTCTGGGGCTCTGGACACCCTTCCCCCCATCCTGGTGAAACTGGCCTCCTCCACTTCCTTCCTTCTTCCCCACCTCCCTGGGTCCAACCCAGCACACTCCTTGGACCCCTCTTCCCACCCACACCCCAACCAGCATCCTCACCGGCTTCAGGGACACAAACACAGGGCGACCCCCTGCCATCAATGTCATGGGCTCATAACAGTCAAAAAAGGGCTCGATGATGATAACCTAGTACAAAGGTCAGATGAGCTGGGGCTGGCACCACCCGGACCCTTCACCCCTACCCAGCCCGGGCTTTGCCCATTCACCTCATCTCCTTCATCCACCAGGGCCTGGAAGGCTGTGAACAGGGCCCCGTAGGCACCCACAGTTACCAGCACGTTCTTGAGTGGGTCTATCTCCTGTCCCAGCAACTTCCCGAAGAAACTGGCCAGAATCTTCGTCAGGGGTGGGTAACCCTGCCAGGACAGCATGGGTCAGGCTGGGCCTGCCATGGTGGGCCTGGCTCAGCCTGGGCCCACCCTCCTGTTCAGGCACTCTCTGCAATTCTAGCATCTTTCAGCAGCAAACCTGGGGGTCAAGTCAGCTTCTGTGGGGTGGGTTCTTTCATCTTTCACCCCTTGCCGTGAAGCCTGCTCTGTGCCAGGCCCACCACCCAGGGCTGGGATTGGTGGGGAACCAGACAGAGTGTATGCCTTCAGGAATGACAGTCCAATGGAACCCTCAAAATAGCAACAATTCCAAGCTTTAAACACCTCCCTTTAAGTTTAAGAGAGTTTAAGGGATTTCCCTTGAGGTTCAGCTGGTAAAGAATCTGCCTGCAATGCGGGAGACCTGGGTTCCATTCCTGGCTTGGGAAGATCCCCTGGAGAAGGGAAAGGCTACCCACTCCAGTATTATGGCCTGGAGAATTCCATGGACTGTACAGTCCGTGGGGTCACAAAGAGTCGGACACGACTGAGCCACTTTCGCTTTCTTTAAGAAGGACTTTTGTGCCATCTGATCCTCTTGACAGCCTTGCAAGAGAGACATTACTTGATTCCCATCATTTAACAGTGGAAAAAGAGACCCAGAGAAAGGAAATGACTTGCCCAAGGTCATGGCAGTTGAAGTGCAGGACTAAGAGTTTATGTTGCAGCTTTGGAAACCCCTCACTTTGAGAAGAATATTGGATCTATATGCTTGTTTGCTGAGGACACTTATAAAACATTCCAGGGTAAGCCAAGGGACTGAAACCTAAGGTCTGGAATTTAACTAAATAATTTACCAAACCAGATTTGACCACATGAAATGAAAAATTTCTATACATCAAAATATTCCATGAGCAAAGTTAGAAAACTAAGAGAGAAACACTGCAACATAAAGAGTTCTTGTGAAGCAATAAAACAAATACACATAGCCAAATGAAATAATGAGGGCAGTCATGAAAGAAAAATTGCTGATGTTCAATATTGATAGGAAAAGAATGAACTTTCCTGCCAGCTCTGAGACCAGACTGTTGATGGGAATGTAAGTCTTACTGGAGGGCAATTTGATGATATCCATCTTAGGCTAAAATGCTTACACCCTTTGATTCTCTGGTTTTACTTCTTGTGATTTGAGATAAATGCTCACCTATGTGTACACACAAAATATTCACTGTGAAAAAAAAAATATTCACTGTGGCATTGCTTAATAGTGAGATAGCCAAACCAGACCATCAGTGCAGGGCCGGGTAAATAAATTATGGCACATCTAGTCAGTGGAATACTATGCAGCCATCAAAAGAATGAGGCTATTTTGACATGGAAAGATGCCCCTATCATACTATTTAGTGAAATAAACAAGTTCCATAATATTGTATATATAATGTTGAATTTGCTTATCAGTTCTAGTAGTTTTGTGTGGAGTCTTTAGGGTTTTCTATATACGGTATCATATCTTCTGCATATAGCGACAATTTTGTCTCTTTCCTTCCAATTTGGATACTTTTTGTTTCTTTTTCTTATCTGATTGCTGTGGCTAGGACTTCTAATACTATCTTGAGTAGACAAGGTGAGAGTGGGCATCCTTGTCTTGTTTCAGATTTTAGTGTGAAGACTTTCAGCTTTTCACCACTGAATATTATATTGGCTGTGGGTTTGTCATAGATAGCTTTTGTTATGTTGAGATATGTTTCCTCTATTACCACTTGGGTAAGAGTTTTTATCATGCATGCATGCTGAATTTCATCAAATGCTTTTTTTACATCTATTGAGATAGCCATGTGGTTTTTGTTTTTTCTTTTGTTTATGTGGTGAATCACACTGATTTGGGTATGCTGATCTATCCTTGTGAACTTGGGATGTGGCGTATAATCTTTTTTACATGTTGTTGGATTTGATTTGCTAATATTTTGTTGAAAATTGTTGCATCTATATTCATCAAAGATATTGCCCTGTAATTTTCTTATTTGTTGATGTCTAGTTTTGGTATCAGGATGATGATGGCTTCATAGAGAGTCTTTGGGAGTGTTCCCACTTCAATTTTTTGGAATAGTTTGGGGACGATCGATATAGTCTTCTTTGTATATTTGGCAGAATCAGTCTGTGAAGCCACCTGGTCTCAGGCTTTCACTTGTAGGGAGTTTTTAAATTACAGATTCTATTTCACTTGTAGTGATCGGTCTGTTCAAATTATCTGTTTGTTCTTGATTCAATTTTGGTGGGTCGTATGTTTCTAGAAAAAGATTTGTGATTTTTAACACAAACGGACTCATACGATAAACAATATTGGCCTTCCGTTAAGATCCAGTGGTTAGGACACTGTGCTTTTACTGTAGGCGAACTAAGATCCCACCTACTGAGCAGAATGGCCAAAAAAGCCAAAAAAACAAAAAAACAAGGTTCTACTGTATAGCACAGAGAACTATATTCAATATCCTATGATAAACTATAATGGAAAATAATATTTTAAAATGGGGATACATGTATATTATAACTGAATCACTTTGCTGAGCACCAGAAATTAACACAACGTTGTAAATCAAGCTGAAGCTCTAATACTTTGGCCACATGATGCAGACAGTCAACTTTATATTTCAATTAAAAAAACCACAGAAAGCCACACAAATCTCACATGTGTTTATATAAACATTTTTAAAAGTTAAAAGTTCAAAAGTCTAAACACTCAGCAAAGTAGCACACTGTTGGCAGTGCTAGACTCTGGGTGGTAGGACTGGAAGAAACTTTCCCCCAGGCCGTGAGATGCACACCAACGTTTAAGAACCTGCTCCAGGCCTGGAAAATATTTACTCTGTGGTTCTTTACAGACAGGTTTTGGATTTAGAGTTAAAAAAATAATCAAATATCTTTCATCAGCTTTATGTGTCACCTCCTTCAGGAAGCCTTCCCTAATCTCCCAGGTTTCATTCCCTCCTTTGTGCTCCCAAGGACCCCAAGCTCCTCCATCACAGCAAATCAACTACCTTTGATTTCTGCTTCTGTTGTTTGGTCTGCTTTTCCCACTAGACCATGATCTCCCAGCTCATGTTTTGTTTTGTTTTGTTTTAAATCTTTCTTTCCCCCAGGCCATGAACTGTCCCAGGGCCTGTAACAAAGGAGACAGGCAGTGAACACTGAACCATGGCTGGACTGAATTTCAAGGGCTCTGCCCCATGAACCGTAACATCTCGATTGGCCTGCTGTCCAGAAAGAGCTGCCCCTTCCTCCCCTGGGATCTCTGCAGAGGCCCACGTCTGGGGTCCCCCAGAGGGGCTGGGAGACTCACAAATGCCTTCGTGTACTGGTTAAGCATGAAGTCCCCACTGACGGCGTGCTGAAAGGCTTCCACGGCGAACTCTGGGGGTGAGAAGTCTGGGAAGCCTTGGCCCAGATTTACAACATCAGCCTCCTCGCTGGCCAGTTTGGCAAATTCCACCCTGGGTAACAAACAGAGAGTGGGTACCAGCAGAACCCTCCACCCAACCTGGAATTCTGCTCAATTCCAGGGCAGGCTGAGCAAGGCACTTGGGCTTGCTCTAGAAAAACTGGATAGTCAGTACCCATCCTGATCTGTTTATGGTCATAACTGGTCACATGCCATGCTGGTCACATGTCTCAGTCCAGGGGCTCTGGAATTTTCCACCACGATCCACAGTAAGAAATCCCTTTTACATCCCAAACTCTGGAGAGACAAACAGGGACTCCAGGTTCTCCTTCCAGTGGGATCCACGGCAGTCTTTCCCATCCTGTCCTACTCTGGTCTTTACAAATACTTGTTGAGTGCCCCGAAATGGATTTCATGACCCATTCATGCATCTGTCAACACCACACTTTGAAACATTTGCTCATACCACCTCTGTTAGTCTGTGAGGCAAGTGCTGCTCCTCGGTTGCAATGGGGATGGAGAAGGCGGGATTCGGGGGACTTGCCTGATGGCTCCCAATTAGCCCAGTTGGCTTTTGAGTCCACCTCTGTCTGAAGCAACACTTGGGCCCTGGAGAATTACCCTGAATAGACTGTGGTCCCACCAGCCCTGCCATCTGCCACCTCTGGCCCCCTACCACCCTTCTTCTGGGCCTGCCTGCTGGCCACCTCTTTAGGGAAGCTGGCAGAGAGGCTGAGAAGCTGTATAAAAAGGCTGGCACACGGTTCCAGGTTGCCAGGGGGCAGAGGAATCAGGTGTGGTGGCGTTGAATTTGCCTAACAATAAATACGTCTAAAATCGGTTCTTGTTCTCTCCAGAGCTTCACAAAGTCTCTGAAGACACAAAGTTGCTGAGGCTCAGAGAGGCCCATGACCTGCCCAGAGCCACATGAGTGGCTAAAGCAGAGCTGAGATGCAAAGTCAGATGGTGGGTGGTCCATGGTGGCTGAGACAACGGAGCCAGATCCTCAGGCCACCACCCCGGGGTCCGTAGGAACCTGGGGCCTCTCACGGCCCTCATCCCTCCTAGCACTCCTCCCCTGCTCTGTGCAGTCCTCCCAGGCCAGCTCTGCCCTGACTCTGCCTGAGACTTGGCTTCTCCTGGACTCAGTCCTCCCTTCTGTAGAATGGGTATGACAGGTTCAAGAATCTGCTGGCTCTGTGAGTCAGGAGAGACTCTAGCTGCCTCTTCCAGCCAGTTATTTCCTCCCTCTCAGCTGGACTTTACCTTGTCTGCAAAATGGGCCACAGGCCTGCCCACCTGCCTCATGGAGAGGACAGAGGGGGCAGCCTGGGAAGCAGGCTCCTGGGGGCTCAACCTGGAGGGCAGCCAGACACCATAGGGTCTTTGGGCCTGGCTCCCCCATCCCAAACACCAGGGAGCATCGGAGGAGAAGGCGGAGGTGGAAGATTTTTGCAAAACACAAAATGCAGTACAGGAGGGGAGTTTGAAAGAAAAAGATGGTCCTTTTTTTGATAAAAACAACAGCCAATGATATCTTTTTTACATACAGAGGTGGCTCTGTGCTCTTGGCCAGAGGGGGAGTGGACTGGGAGCAGGGGTCGGAGAAGGGGGAAGAAGGAAGGTCATTCAGTCTTTCTTGCACATCTTTGATTGCATCCATTGCATCACTAGTGACAGCGGGCATGTACGTCTTTCACACGTAGAATGAGTCAATTAAAAAAAAGATGTTAAGCTCTGCAAGTGTCAGGGAGGAGCTGCCCATGTCTTACCTTCTTATATTCTTTAGCTTATCTTGTTCTCTACTAAGTGTGAAATGAAAGACCCCCCCCCACCCCCCCACCCAGAAAGCCCTTAGCCCAGTGCTTGGGTAGTGGCCATAGCTCACACAGTATTTCATCTCATCCTCCCGAGGCCCTTTAGGGGAGACAGAAGTATCTCCATTTCCTAGCCGGAACCGGAGGCTCAGAGCAGGTGAGTCACCGGCCTCAAATGCCACAGCCAAGCAGAGTGAGGCTGAGACCCAAACCCAAGCCGGTGGCTGGCGGGAGGTCTCACCTCTCAAGGGCTGAGGCTGCAAAACTTCCAGTCTGAGTATGCAGCCGTCTTGGGTACCACTGTGTCCCTGCCAACCCAGAGACCGCCAGCCCTGCTATCCTGGAGCCAGGGGACCCCCCCCACCACCCTCCCCAGTCCTGCCTGGCTCACCACGGGTTGTAATCGATCCGGTCCAGCCTTCGAGCCTGCAGCTGTTTAGCCATGGTGAGCTGGAGACAACAGAGCAAGCAGAGTCAGCTGGAGACGGCTAGTGGAGGGTCAGCCTGAGCTTGCCCCAGGGAAGCAGCTGCTCTGACCATAGCCTCCGTGTCCGCCCCTCTGGGAGGAGGCAGAAAGCAGGGCTCCTCCAGCCTCCCCGCGCCTGGCTCCTCCCCGCGCCACCAGTCTGAACTTGCCCACCTGCCAGCCCGGACTCCGCATGTCCCGGGACATAGACTGGATTCCAGTTAAAATTGACCCAGGCGGGGCTGGGGAGGAGGAGCAGCAGGAAGCAGGAGAGCGGAAGAGGGCAACAGTGACGGCAGCGGCTTCTTGCTAAACTCTTCCGTGAACTTCCTGGAACCTCCTGACTTGACCCATTTTACAGCTGAGAAAATGCAGGGAGGAGTGGGAAATGGCTGTGTTCAAGGTCACACGACAGATAAGACTCAGGCCTGTTTGAGATGAGGCCACATTCGGACTTGGGCAAAGGGCCACTTGCTCAGTCTTTCGGGGGCTCAGGGGACCACTCCTCCCCTTCCCTGGGTTCCTTCCAGGCCAGCTTCCCCCTCACCCACAGGTGTGCTGACACTGGCCTGGCCCGGGGACCATCAGGCTCAGGTCCTCAGTCTGTCGTGGCTGGGTGATATTGCACAAGTGCGTTAGCGCCTCCTGGCCTCAGTCTCCCCATCAGTGTAATAGGGGCACGGGCTTCGTGGGCCCTCGGAGCCTCCTGGTCCCTGTGGGTTGGAGTCTCGGAGGGCCGGCAGGTGGTGGAGCCACCTGGTGGCTCACAGTGAACCCTCGCTGTTCTTCACAGTCCGAGTCCTCACGCAGGCTTACCAGAGGGGCCAGGAAAATCCTCATCTCAAGATGAGGGCCTTGAGGCTCAAAGAGATTTGGGGACTTGCCCAAGGTCAGAAGAGGAGCTGCTCAGGGCTCTGGGTCAGGACAACAGCAACAGCAGGGCTCCCAGCTCCGGGCCCTGGGCCTGGAGAAGGGTGTGGGGACCGTCTGTACCCCGGCCAGGTTTTTCTATCGCCTGGGAATCCTGGGGATGTGAACCGTTCAGACAGAGCCCAGCGTGGAGCCTGGCACCGAGTGGGTGCTTTGCTAACATTGGCAGCCCTGTGCTTTCACCAGGCCCTGACACCTCTCGCCTGGCCTGGCACTCAGCATGTGTCGAAATAGTAAGAATGATAGCATAATCTCTGCCAGGGAAATCGTGTGATCACCAAAATGTTAGATGGCAGTGATTATCTTTGGTTAGTTAACAGACATTTTTTCTTCTCTTCCTTAATAATTTTCTGTTTTCCACATTTTCTAAAATAAGTGTTTTATTTTTATGATTAAAAATATGGGAGAAAATTACATTTTAGAGGAATGTTTATAAATGTGCTGTACTGATATCAATAAAACAGGTGACAAAATAGCATGTATGGTATAATTATGTTTAAAGAAATACCTTTGTATATATACATTTTGTATGATCATATGTGAATGGAAAAAAGTTTAGAAGGAAACATAGTAACATGTTAACAAAGGTTCCCTCTGAGTGGTGGAATTGCAGGTGATTGAATTATGGGTGTGCTCTTCTATGTTTCCAAGTTTTTTTTGAATGGAGATCATATCATATTTGATTCTGAAATGTGTATTTTTGCACACTGCACTTTCAGATGTATCTTAGAACCTACAGAATGAATTTAATAGGCAATTTCTTCCTCCCTTACTAGTCCATAAAATAACAATGTGTCTTAATATTGATGTCATTATGTGTTCAATGATATAAGCACTTGCTTTTGAACTGGGTATGCATCATGTTAAGGAAATAAAGCGAAGATGAGTCGGGGCAGTGGTGGAGAGGGGAGTAGAGGTTGGAGTTAGGGAGCTTGAGGAGGGTTGAGATGGGTGAAGGGGTAGAGGGGTACAGAGAGAGAACAAAGATGAGCCGAGCTGAATGAGTACAGGGAGGAGATAAAAAAGGGGGAACCCCAGAAACTTGGGGTGCTCAATGGAGTGACCTTTGCGTACATCACACACTACTGGGATAAGGGAGGAACCAGTGCCTGTCCTTGACTTTATACATAATGTATTTATTCAGCCAACATTTATGAAGCACCTACTGTGTACCAAACACTGCGCTGGGCTAGGGGCCGACGGGGAGACTGCAGCACTAAGGATGCAGAGCTACAAGCTAGATCAGAAGCAGGGGCAAGGGAGGGGCCCACACTCAGTCTGCACTCAGAGAATGCTTCCTGAAAGAGGAGGCTCACGCACAGCTTTGAAGCCAGGACCAAGCCAGATCCCAGGAGCCCCAGGTCATGTGAGCAGCAGAGCGCAAGGGGCGAGAGCACTTACAGTCTGGTGCAAACACCGGGTGAGCGAAGCTCCAGACTTCTTTCCCTGGAGGGGCCCCACCAGGTGCAAATAGATGGCCGCTGCATTTCTGAACATGCCTCCTAGAGCCATGGGGCGATGTCCCCTCCAAGAGCAGAGGAGAAGGGAGAACACCCTAGCCAGAAAAATGGCTCTGGGCCCAAGACGTGGTCCCCCACTCACAGCTCTGATAACAAGAACAATAAGGGCTGGTATTTATCGAGTGGTCGCTCTGTGCCAGGCATGGCACCAAGTGTTTTGTCGCATGACTATCCTTCAGTCCTTGAAACCCTGGGACCACCCCCCAACCCCAGCAACCACAGTGACCTTTTCAAAATGTAAATCACCTCTAATTAAAAATGATCCAGGTGAAGACTGTGGATGGCTTCCTACATCACAGACAGACCCAAGCCTACATCACGTCCTGACTCTGGAAACACACATACCACCTGCAGATTATTTCTGTGCTAAAACCAAATCTAAAGCTGATCATGCCTTAAGAGAGACTCAGGAATTCCCTGGCGATCCAGTGGTTAGGACTTGGTGCTTTCACTGCCAGGGCCCGGGTTCCATCCCTAGTCAGGGAACTAAGAACCCACAGGCCTTGCAGCACTGCCAAGGAAAAAAAAAAAAAAGATTCAACAAACATAAATTAAAAAGTGAATGCTTAAAAAAGAAGAAAATCTTCGAAGGACACACTGCACAATTTGAAAACTTACTAAAAAGCTAAAGGAACCAAAAAACAGTGTGGTACTGGCATAAGGATAGACATATAAATCAAGAGAATCGAACTGAGAGCCCAGAAGTAAACTGCTATTTGATCAACTGCTGTTTGACAAGGGTGCCAAGAAAATTCAATGAGGGACAGGACTGACTGACTGATAGCTCTTTCTCGATTCTGTGGGTGGTGGTACATGGCCGTTCTTAGTTGGTAAAGTGATTTGTCTGGTTAATTCTGATAAAGAAGGACACTCTGGCATGCTAACTAGTTATGCAACCCCCGAGCAAAAAAAGAAAAGAAAATTCAATGAAGACAGAGCAATCTTTTCAACAAATTGGTGCTGAAACAACTGGATATCCCCATGTAGAAGAATGAAACTGGACTCCTCCCTTATAAAAAAATTAACTCAAAGTGGATCATAGACCTAAAAGTCAGGGTTAAAACTATAATACTCCTTGAAGAAAACAGGAGTAAAGTTTTTAACGTTGCAGGAGAAGATTTTTTTTAAAATATATAACACCATATGTAGCAGCTTTTATATATAACAACACAAGCAATGAAAGAAAAACTGGATTTAGATTTCATCAAAATTAAAAACTTTTGTGTCTCAAAAGATACCATCAAGAAAATGAAAAAAACCCACAGTATAGGAGAAAGTATTTGCAAATTATAAATCTGAATCTCTCCAAAGAGGTATAAATTGCTAGCAAGCACATGAAAAAATCATCAACATCATTAGTCATTAGGTAAATGCCACACTAAGACACAACTTCACACCCACTAGAATGGCTATAACAAGACAGATAATTACAAGTGTTTCAAGGATGGTGGGAAATTGGAAGCCTTGTATATTGCTTCTGGGAATGTAAAATGCTGCAGCGGATGTGGAAAACAGTCTAGAAGTTACTCAAAATGTGAAACATAGAGTTATCATATGACCTATCAATTCCACTCCTAGAGAAATGAAAAACAAAAATATGCCCACACAAAAACTTGTACATTGGGATTTCCCTGGTGGTCCAGTGGCTAAGACTTCACGGTCCCAATGCAGGGGACCAGGGCTCCATCCCTGGTCAGGGAACTAGATCCTTTATGCCGCAACTAAGACCTGGGCTTCCTGGGGGCTCAGACGGTAAAGCACCTGCCCACAATGTGGGAGACCCGGGTTCAGTCCCTGGGTCAGGAAGATCTCCTAGACTTCAGTATTCTTGCCAGGAAAATCCCATGGATGGAGGAACCTTGTAGGCTACAGTCCGTGGGGTCACAAAGAGTCGGACGTGACCGAGCGAGTTCAGTTTCTTTTCTGTTTTTAAAAAATCTTCATAGTAAGAATAAAACCCAAAGTTTCTACCACATATTACAAGGCCATATTAGATCAGAAGTGAGACCCCCAGGTTGTTTCCTACCACTGTTTCTCTTGCTTGCTCTCTCCCAGCCACACTCACCATTCCTGTCTGTTAACTGTTCCCCTATTTTCACTCTCCTTATCTTATATCAGCGCCAGCAAACATTTTCTGCCTTGGGTCAGAGCAAATATTTCAGGCTTTGCGGGGCAGACAGTCTTTGTCGCAGCTTCTCAAGTCTGCTGCTGCTTTGGGAAAGCAGCCTTAGATGACACACACAAACCAGAGACGGCAGCTTGCATTGTGGCCTCACTTCTCTGATGAATCTAAGAAGAGGTGTTCATTTTTCCCTTTGCTCAGCTTTTCATTCACAAGGACAGTGTGATGACGTCCAAGCTCCTTGCACACAGGACTGGAAACCGGAAGTCCGAAATAATCTACCTGTTCACAACATTTCATAACTATCAGTGCGACGCTCTAACTTTACTATAGAGGAGAAATAAAAGGAGAGTAATTTATAACCCAGTCATGTATGCAAATGCTCAGGCTTCCCCACACTAGAAGATTCTAGGAAGTGGACAGTTGTTGGCCCTTGCTTATAAGAAATAAATCTGGCCAATGGGATGTTCCTGGTGGTCCAGTGGCTAAGACTCTCTGCTCCCAATGCAGGGAGCCCGGTTTGATCCCTGGTCAGGGACCTAGATCCCACATGCCACACGGATCTTTTTCCATGTGCCACAACTAAGATCCAGCACAGCTGAAAAAGAGAAAGAGGGAAAGAAAGAAAAGAAATAAGTCTGGCCTTAACTAGGCAACTCCCTAGCCTAGTCCCTTTTAAACTCCGCTCCCAGCCCAGCCTGTTCCTCCAAGGTCTTTCAAAGCATCTCAGAGCCCAGAAAACTAGTCATCTGTCCCAAGGTGGGGCACTTCCTCCTCTGGTCCTCACTCAGTCATCAGCTTCTCCGGAGCACGTTCTCTGGCCAGGCAAAGCGCTAGGACCACAGTGTGGACCAGGCCTGGCAAGAGATGCCCACAAACACTGTCTCCATTACTATCCAGCAAGTATTTCCTGACCAATGCGAAAGTGTGTGTTATGGCTCGAATAGTGTCCTCCAAAAGGATATGTCCAAGTCCTAACCTCTGGTAACCTGTGAATATTTCCCCAGTGGCTCAGGGGTAAAGAACCTGCCTGCAATGCAGGAGACATGCTGGAGACACAAGTTCAATCCCTGGGTCGGGAAGATCCCCTGGGGATCTTGGGGTCAGTCCATGGGGTCGCAGAGAGTTGGACACGACTGAGTGACTAAACAACAACCTGTGAATGTGGCCTTATTTGGAAACAGGATCTTTGAAGGTGTAACCCATTTAAGACGAGGGACTTCCCCTGGTGGTCCAGTGGCTAAGATTCTGGGCTGCAGGCGGCCTAGGTTTGATCCCTGGTCAGGGAACTAGATCCCACATGCGGCAATTAAAGGTCCTGTGTGCTGCAACTAACACTGGCCCAGACAAAAATAGCAATGCATGCATGCTAAGTCACTTCAGACATGTCCGACTCTTTGTGACCCCATGGATTCCTCTGTCCATGGGATTCTCCAGGCAAGAATACTGGAGTGGGTTGCCATTCCGTTCTCCAAAAAATAGTAACAGTAAATAAATAAATATTTGAAAAATTTAAAATGAGGTCTCACTGGATCAGAGTGGACCACTGCCAGTACAGTTTGTTTCCTTGTAAGAAGAGGAGAAAAGGTCACCAACACACAGGAGAAAGGTCATGTGAAGACAGCTGCTGCTGCTGCGTCGCTTCAGTCGTGTCCGACTCTGTGTGACCCCATAGATGGCAGCCCACCAGGCTCCCCTGTTCCTGGGATTCTCCAGGCAAGAACACTGGAGTGGGTGAGGCAGAGATTAACGTGGCTACGAGCCAAGGAACACCGAGGTCTCCTGACAGCACAGAAACTAAGAGAAAAGCATGGACCGGATTCTCCTCTGGAGCCGACAGAGAAAGCATGGCCCCAATAACACCTTGATTCTGGACTTCCAGCCTCCAGAACACTGAGAGAAAACGTTTCTCTTTAAAACCACCCGGCGTGTGGTACTTCGGTAGAGACCCCCGGGAAACTAATACAACCCGACACTAGAGGGCGCCGGGGGCACGGCCCCCGCGGCAGGAGTTCCGGCCAGCTCCTGGGAGGACGTGGCCTCCAAGCCCAGTCCCAGAGGAAGGGAACGGCTGCCAGGCGGTGCAAAGGCCCGTGGGGGCGAGCTGCGAGATTCCAGGGTCTGGGAAGTCAGTTCACCCTCTGATTTATTTCCTGCGGCTAACAACCAGAGCTTGGAGCAACAAAGGGCAGCGCGATTATTATCTGAGGAGGGACATTCCACCCTGTGTCTGGGGCAAAGTGCCGGCCTGCTTCAAGTTCCTCAGCCGAGGACGGGAGGCGCACGGCCTGGTGGGAGCCCAGTGCTGGCTACACCTCCTCTGCCCCCAATCACACCTGCATCACCTCGCCCGATCACAGAGGTAGGGATAATATTAATACAATCAGTTCTAATCCGCTCACTCGGCACCAGGCACTGCATAAGGACTGTACTGATGTCATCAGACCCTTTCAACAGCCCTGGAAAGCAGGTGCTATCCTCAAAACAGGCAAGGAAGGGACTTCCCAGGTGGCCGAGTAGGTTAGAATCCGGCTGCCAATACAGGGGACACGGGTTCGATCCCTGATCTGGGAAGATTTCACATGCCTCGGAGTAAAAAAACTCGTGTGCCACAACTACTGAAGCCTGTGCCTAAAGCCGGTGCTCTGCAAGGAGAAGCCACCGCGGTGAGAGGCCCTCACACCACAGTGAGGGACCCCCACTTGCCGCAGCTAGAGAAAGCCTGAGTACAGCAACAAAGACCCGGTGCAGCCAAGAATAAATAAAACTTACAAACAAAACAAAAAAAGGCAAGGAAATTTGTAAGAATGATAACATAACAACAAAAACCTGTCAATCCTAAAGGAAATCAACCCTGAATATTCACTGGAAGGACTGATGCTGAAGTTCCCATACTTTGTCCCCCTGATGCGAAGAACTGACTCACTGGAAAAGACCCTGATGCTGGGAAAGATGGAAGGCGGGAGGAGAAGGGGGCAACAGAGGACGAGATGGTTGGATGGCATCACCGACTCAAAGGACATGAATCTGAGCAAACTCTGGGAGATTCTGAAGGACAGGGGAGCCTGGTGTGCTGCAGTCCATGGGGTCACAAAGAGTGGGACACAACCCAGCAACTGAAAAACAACAAACACGTAAATGGGGCTCCCTCCGGCAGATGGGGGGAGGGTTCGAATCACGGGATGCCACAGTTTAAGATCCCAGCTTGTGGCCCTTTCCTCTCCTCTGCCAGTCTTGGCCCTTCACTCTCACTGCCAGCTCTCAGGAAAGGTGGTACCTTGGGGCTGGGGGTGGCCTGGGCTGCGTGGCTCCGTGGAGGCGGGGAGAGCCTATGCAGGATGAGGACACGCTTAACCACTCATGCTACCTCGGGGCTGGGGCTGGAAACCAGGATCCGGCTTCCACTGAGGGGGACTGCCAGGGCAGTGACTGGTGTGTGTGTCCGGGTGAGCCTGTGGGCACGGGAGTGAGTATCATACTGCACCCTTTGTGGGGCAGGTCTGTCCTGCCAAACCTTTGACGCCCGCCTGGGATTGGGTATCAAGCAGACCCCGGGGGAGAAGGTTAGGACACAGGCTTTGGGGGCATGCACACCTTGGCTGTGTGACTTGGGGCAAGTCACTTCACCTCTCTCAATGTCAGTTTCCCTAGCCGTAAAATAAATAAAAATAAGGTAGTTCATGGAAGGCCCTTCACTGAATGCCTGGCACATAAAAGGTGACTGTAAATGACCAATGTTAATAATAGAGTGGGCACTTTATGAATACCCATTGGATTCATACAATATGACCTATGTCAGCGGGACTGACTTCATCAGATCTCAGGAGGCTTAGTGCTGAGGGCCTGCGATAGTTTGAAGGGCCTATGAAAATGTTTTCATTTTAACTTATTTTAAAATAAGAACACAAGTGGTGCTAGTGGTAAAGAACCTGCCGGCCAGTGCAGGAGACATGAGACATGTGTTCAGTCCCTGGGTTGGGAAGATCCTCTGGAGGAGGGCATGGCAACCCACTTCAGTATTCTTGCCCGGAGAATCCCACAGACAGAGGAGCCCGGGGGGCTGCAGTCCATGGGGTTGCAAAGAGTTGGACACGACTGAGGCGACTTGGCACACACACAAGGGAATATAACATAATAATGAATGTATGATAATGAATCTAGCTTGGATGATATTTGTTCTTTATACCAACAGAGTTATAAAGTATATATATATACATTTTTGGCCAAGCTGTGTGGCTTGCAGGATTTTTGTTCCCTGACCAGGGATTGAACCAGGGCTCTTGGCAGTGAGAGCACAGAGTCCGAACCACTGGACCACCAGGGAGTTCTCCTTTGTTATTTTTTTTTTAATGGAGAAAGGGGCCCGTGAAGTAGAAGTGAATAGGGTCCCTGAAAGTTTTAATGTGACTTTGAACGTGGGTAAATCCGTGTGTGGTTGTGACTGCTTGTGCAAATAAGAGGGTTTGCCCTTGAGTACTTGCACGTCTCTTTCCTTTGAGCCCGTGGGTGTCATGGGGACAGTTTCTAGGAACTTGAAGGCGAGGGAAAGCCACTGGGGGTCTGAGCCGAGGGTGGGAAGGGCACAGGTGGCCACGTGGGCTGCCCTCACCAGCTACACTGCCAGGTGTCAAGGCGTTGCATGCTGCTTGCATGTTGTATGTCCCACTCTTTGCAACCCCTGAACTGAAGCTCGCAAGGCTCCTCTGCCCGTGGAATTTTCCCGGCAAGAATATTGGAGTGCGTTGCCATTTCCTCCTCCAGGGGATCTTCCTGACTCAGGGATCGAACACAGGTCTCTTGCATCTCCTGCATTGGTAGGCGGGTTCTTGACCACTGAACCACCTGGGAATCCCTGCAAGGTGTTGCCCTGTGGGAAATGGGTGCTTGCTGTCCCTGAGGCCACCAGCAGGGGATATGCAGAGCCAGCCCTGTCCAGACGTCTGGCTAGCTGGCCCTGGACATTAAGTCATACGATACATTAGGACAGAGGACAACTTTGTGTCTCAGAGGGGAGTGTGGTCTCACTTTATAGAGGAGATCGTCGGTGGGGAGTGTGCTCCAGGCCCACCCCGAGGTGCGACTGCTGGCCTCCCAGACCAGAGTTCTCCCACTGGCTGGGCTGACCTAGGCGTCTCCACAGGGGCTCATTCACAGACATCTGGGAGCGCTCACCATTGCCTCATTCAGAGGCACCGGAAGGCTCTGGGGCTGCCTTTCCCAGGCCACACCCACCTCCAACTCACCCTGTGCCTCATCTCTCATCTCCCAGGAAGCAAGTTCCCTGGACAACTCCTCTAGAGCCCTGATGACTGGCCGGAGCGTAATGACCATAGCCTTTTGTTTACTGCACACTTTTTCTGTGCCTGGCTGCCCGCCCAGCACTTCACAGGGCCCGTCACTTTTAATCCCATGAGAAAGGTGCCATTAAGAGGCGAAGTAACAGACCCAAGGCCACAACTAGCAGGTAGCGGAGCTGGAATTTGAACCCAGGACACAGACTTCAAAGCCTGTGCTCACTGCCACTGTGGAGCAAGGGGAGCAAGGGGACACCACGGCCCCTTGGGCTCCCAACTCACTGTTGCCAGAAAGAATCGATGAAGCACAGACGAGAGATGCTCAATGGGAAATGAGAGAATTTGATCCAGTTGCTTACATTTTATGGGTGGGGATAGTGATAAACAGGGAGGGACACCGACCAGCCCAGATTCCAGGGGGAGCCAGATCACCTGAGTCATAATCCTGGCATTTTTCTCATCGTAGCAGCTGCCTGGGACATTATTAGGCATGGGTCCCGGAGGAAGATGCTCAGTAAATTTCCACTGAGTGAGGGAATGAATGTTTATCTCTCCAACCAGACTGTGAGCTCCATCAGAACCAGGACTCTCCTTTGTTCATCTTTTTACTATCAACGTCTGGTGCAGGAACTTAGGTGCACACCTTTTATCACTTCAGCAAGTATTTATTGAACTTCCATTATGTGCTATGCCCTAGGCTAGCCACCAGGCATACAACGGGGAATAGGATACCTTTCTTTCCTTTCAGGTATGCACACAGAATGAGGGAGACAAATGGGTAACCAGACCATTCTAATAGAGTGTGAGCCTTAATATGCAAAGGATTCTTATAAATCAATAACAAAAGACCAACATCTCAATAGAAAAAAAAAGTGGGCAAAACATATAAATTCACACACAAAAAGAAAACAGCATGTAAACTTGAAAAGATGCTGAACCGACCCACATCTGCACTCAAGGGTCATCCACCCTTTGCCCCTGGAGTCCCGGCACAGGTGGGAGAGCAGGGTCGGCCACCAGGGCTCAGTGCTGTGTGCGCCCGTCTCACACAGCTATGATGGCCACTTCTAGCAGTGACCTGGTTCCTGGAGGCCACAGACACACACCCCGCCCCTCACACCCGCCCCACCCCGGTTTCCAGGCCCAAGCCTTCCTCCCAGGGTCGTGAAGACCCTGACACCCAGAGCAGGGCCTGCAGATACCTGGTCTCCCTCCCAGAAACATGGGACATATTTTTCTGATTAAAGAAAAGAAAAAGTGCTGTGCCATTATTTAAAAAAAAAAAAGAAAAGATACTGAACCTTGTCATAACTGACAAAATGCGAATTACAATGAAACTCTATTTTCTGTGTCTCAGGCGGAGAATAATAAGATTGAGATCCACCAAGTCAATACTATGATGCACTAAAAGTCACTGGTATAACTTCTGGAGGGCAACTTAATATTAGTGATTATATTATTCTTTGACTTAAACACTCTGTCTTCTAGATGTTTATCTTACAGGGATGTTCATACATATACATAAATCTGGATGATTATTGCAGTACTGTGTGTGAGAAAAAACAGTACAATTCAATGTCTATCAGTTGGAGGCTGATTCAATTTGTTTTGATTTATCCATACAATGGGACACTATGCAGCCACCAAAAGGAATGAGACCACCCCTAGCATTCTGATGTGAAAAGATATTCAGGTTACATGAAAAATGCATGTTGATTTCAAAACATACTACAAAGTTACAGTAATCAAAACACTGTGGCACTGGCATTGGATAGACATATAGACCAATGGATCAGAATTGAGAGCCCAGAAACAAACTCAAATATCTATGCCCAGATGACTTTCGACAAGGTGTCAAGACCATTCAATGGGGGTAAAATAATTTCTTCAACAAATGGTGCTAGGACAACTGGATAGCCTCTTGCAAAAGAATGAAGTTGAACCTCTATCTCACTCCATCTACAAAACTTAACTCAAAATGAATCAATGATCACATTCTTGATAGTGTCCTTTGATACACAAAAGTTTTACATTTTTATGAAGTCCAAACATAGAATTAGATTATGACCCAGCAACACCACTCCCAGGTTTATACTGGAAAAACAAAACAAAACATATGTCCACACAGAAACTTGTACATGAATGTTAATAGCAGCGTTATTCATAATAGCCAAAAGGTGAAAACAATTCAAATGTCCTTCAACAGATGAATGGTAAATTGGGGTATATTCAGACAATGCAATACTGTCTAGCCGTAAGAAGGAACAACAGACACATTGATATGTGGTACAACTCGGGATAAACCTCAAAAGCATCCTAAGAAGTCAAACACAAAAGGTCACCTATTGTATGACTGCTTTCACAGAATATGTCCAGAATAGGCAAATCCGTGGTGTTAGAAACCAAATTAGTAGTTACCAGGGTATGGAGAGGGGAATGTGGAGTGATTATTCAAAAGACACAGGGTACTTTTCCAGGGTAATAGAAATATTTTGAAACTAGAAGGAGGTGGTGGTCATATAACATTGTGAACACAGTCAATGCCACTGACTTGGACAATTTATATGGTTAAATGTGTGTTCTGTGCATCTTACCTCAACTGTAAAAATGTGTGGGGACTTCCCTGGTGGTTCAGCTGTTAAGACTATGCCCTTCCATTGCTGGGAACGTAGGTTTGGTTCCTGGTTGAGGAACTGACATCCCACATGCAACTAAGCCTGTGTGCTACTAGAGAATCCAGGCACCACAACAAAAGATCCTGCATGCTGCAACTTAAGACCCGATGCAAAATATATGGTAAGAAGAAAGAGGCATGTTGAAGACAACATAGTCCACTTGCACTTTTTAATTATACAGATAGATACAAATGTGATGGTGCATACACACACATACACATAGTTCTCGCTTCCCACTGTACTGTGAGGCTGTAAAAATGACCATTCAAGCTGAAATTGTGCAGAGAAAACTGAATAATGGGAAAAATTATGATTGTTCAGTGACCTTTCAAAGGTATTATCAAAGCATTAAAACCTCTTGATGATGCAGGGGCCACAGGAGACACGGGTTTGATCCCTGGGTTGGGACGATCTCCTGGAGGAGGGCATGGCAACCCACTCCAGTACTCTTGTCTGGAGAATAGGATGGACAGAGGAGCCTGGCGGGCTATAGTCCATTGGATCACAAAGAGCTGGACACGAATAAGGTGACTTAGCACCCACACACGCATCATAGACATGAAATAAAGATTAAAAAAAAATCCTCTTGATGATCTGTTATAAATGTAGAGACAAGTGAAAAAGTAGTGAAACTAATAATAATACATTTAATACTTATTAAGTTGATAGTATAATTTATACTAAATCATTGATCATTCAAGTATTTTCTTTCATTGTAAAAATGTATTAAGGATGACCCAGCAATCCCACGTCTGGGTATACATCCAAAGGAAGAAAGTCCTATCTCAAGAAGATATCTGCACTCCCCTGTTCATTGCCACACTATTCATGAGTCAACATTTGGAAACACCCTAAGTGTCTGTTGATAGACGAATGGATAAAGGAAATATGGTATGGATGTATATACAATGGAGAATTATCCAGTCTTTAAAAAGAAGGAAATCCTGCTATTTGTGACAACATGGATGAAACTGAAATATGTTATGGTAAGCAAAATAAGCCAGAAAGAAAAGAGACAAATATTGCACAATATCACTTATATGTGGAATTTGAAAAAAAAAAAAGAAAGAAAGAAAAAAGTCAAACTCATGGAAGCAGAGTGTGCAATGGTGGTTGCCAGGGGCTTGGGAATGGAGGAAAGAGGGAGAGGTTGATAAAAGAGTACAAACTTCCAGTTATAAGATGAATGATTCTGAGGCTCTAACACATTGCCTGGTGGCTGCACTAGACAATACTTTATTGTTGTATAGCTGAAATCTGCTAAGAGAGTAGATCCTCTCCCTAAAAAAAGGGTAACTACATGAGGTAATGGATACATCATTAACTGTTTGTGGGAGTCATTTCACCAAGTACACACAGAGTAAATCATCACATTGTATACTTTATATTACAATTTTATCTGTCAATTATACTTCAATAAATCTGGGGAAAATTATCAAGAGTTGTTTAAACAGTGCTTGCCTTCCAGTTGTGTAGCTTAAGATACAGAACCAGCATCTTCTCTATACATTGGTGAATCACCACACTCCTTTCTCAGTTCAGATCAACTTAAAATACTTTATCCTTTGTACTTTCAATGCTATGAACTATATCTGGCAGTTCCTTTAATGTGGTGTTTTTGCTGGCATCATTTCCTTGGGACAACATCATCCTTTTTGTCAGAACCTCTTTCATTCGTATGTCAATATAATGCGCCTTCACTGAGTTTCCCTGGCTGCATAGTTAGAGCTTCTGGAACAGCAAATAGCTGCAGGCTCAACATTCCCAGAGCCAGCTTTTTTTTTTTTTGGGCTGCGTCTCACGATTTATGGGATCCCAGATCCTGGATCAGGGATTGAACTCATGCCCCCTACATTGGAAGCTCTGAATCTTAACTGCTGGACTTCCAGAGAAGTCCTCGCCAGCTACTTAAAAAATCATTCATCTTCAATTCAGATTGCACTTTGAGTCTTATCACTCTGCATTTATGTCCTGAGCTTCCACCGTGTGCTGCCCAAGTTCCTCTTTTGGGTAGCTATTTCCTATTCTTTTGCTTACACGTTTTTGTAAAATGTCACATGGGTTTATCACTAGGCGACAGGAGGCAACACAAACCACATGCTTTGCTGTCTGTGTAGGAACTGAACAACACGCATGGTGACCAATCCTAAAGGAGATCAGTCCTGAATATTCATTGGAAGGACTGATGCTGAAGCTGAAACTCCAATACTTTGGCCACCTGATGCGAAGAACTGACTCATTGGAAAAGACCCTGAGGCTGGGGAAGATTGACGGCGGGAGGAGAAGGGGACGA